AATTGAGAACGTGAAGAGAATAGTTAGAGATAAGAGTTTTCTTCTCTCTATCTTTTTTGCTGAGGGAATTTCTAGGAAAAACAGGCAGAGAGAGAGAGCAAAGTTCAAAAAGGGAAAGGGAATTGTAGCGCTATTGACCTTTCCTTGGGAAAATGCGGCTTCTAAAGCACCTGAAAACCTACTTTAATATATTTGGGGTTTTCAAAATCAATTTCTCATTCAACTCTTGCTTAAATATCCTTTAGAATTCACCCTCCATTGCGGAGAAATCAAAGAAACAGGATGTTTCAGAGGGAAAAGCGAACGGTTCTGCGTGTGTTTTTTCTGGGTGAATTTTCCAAAATAACCATATTAATGTCAAATTGATGGTATTATTGATTTCGACTCATTTTATTACACGGACTTAGAGGCTTCCCAGCCCTGAAGTGGATAAAAATTGTTTCCAATCTGCCTGAGAGATTGAATTTTTCCTCTCCTCCGTGTTAAGGGCTTACATCATGTTAAGGGTGAAAGGGATCCTACTCAAAAGTGACGGAAGAAGATTGAGAGGAGACGAGACTTTTTGGCAATTTTCCACGCACGAGATGGCGAAATTGGGCTGCGAGAGCAAGGGGGGGAGAATCAATTGGGCTGAGCCCCAACGACACTTTAATCACTCAGGGATCTCCTTGGGATAAATGGTCCAACACACACCGTAGGTCTATTTTGGAATTTGAGTAAATTACCATCGCCAAAACACCCTCAAATATTGACACCCACTCGCATGTTTGTGCGAAAATGGGCGCCCCCTTTTTTCCGTGCACACACACAGGAAATCCTCGGAATGCTTGGTGACAAATTGTTGCGTTACGTGCGTAATTGGTCACAAAGGTCGTGTGATTCTGAGGGTGCGAACCTGAGGCATTTTATGGCGAGACGCACACACAAGACCTCTATTCGCTTTATTTGAATTCGCCCCCCCCCCCCGACTTTTCCCCCAGGTTTATATGGCTGCCCTCCGTGACGCTCCATTGAGAGCACGAGAGCCAATGAATATCCTCGGGATAAGAGTGTCACGTTGTGATTTTGTCGTTCTGGTCGGAAGTTCGTTTTCTGCGAATGGAACAACCATCACTGTGGAGAGTGGCTGTGAGGGGTTTACAAGACCCTGAAAACGCAATCCTTCCTGACACCGCATTCTTTAATTAGAGAACTCAGGAGGAAGCAAAGATGGAGAGCAACAAAGCCTGGGGTGTAAGTGAATAATTCTGTCCTTTGAGATTGATTTATAGACGTTCTGGGGATCAAAGAGAAAGGAAATTGCAAGGGGGAGGGAATGTAAATAGGATGTTAGAGAGACAGAGATGTTGTGTGCAGTGTCAGTGAGTGCTTTTAATTCAATTTTTCCCTCCGCATGATGGACCCGATAATCTTCTCAAATTCAATTTATTTGTCTCCCTCCGCAGGGGGAGGTGAGCACGCGAGGGGGTGAGTTTGCAATTTCCGCGAGACATACGAGGGAAAATATCGAAACTGAGGCGGTGGTGGAAGATGAAGAGACGTTAATTAGAAACCACAACAGGATATCAATTCTTGTTGATTTTTTCCCTCCATTCCTCGCGTTCATGCTTCATTTATGATCCCAACATTTCTTCCTTCTCTCATACAATTTTTTTTTCGTTCTATTTAATTAACACAATTGAGTTTCCACTCATCGTTGAATTTGCTGGGCTTTGTGCGCTGATCCTCATTTGGCGGAAAGTTTTGCGATATGGCAGGAAAAGTTTTATCTCTCCGACAAACAAGTCATATCAGAAATGACGACAATATAACTTTCTCTTCTTCATATTGTATGGGTATGATTCTGGCGGCGGGTTTTCTCTGGAGCGAGTGCAGAAATCCACCATTTAAAACGTTCAGTGGCCAAAATTTGCCTGGGATTCTCGGTTGCCTCCACAAATTGCTGCGTGTTTGCTCCGAGGTTTTCTGTGTGCCTGTTTAATTCATCTGGGGCAAACCGAAAATTCATCTCATCGTCCATCTTCCCACCCTCACACGCCGGGCTTACATCTCGTATTGCAGCCACTTGAGCACAAAACACTCATCAAATGCTAATTCACACACGCAGCAAAACCCAAACCACGGCGCGCGCTGAATAATGAGATGACAAACGAGGGGCACAAAATGTGGGTGGGAATGTATTCAAATGAGCCCCGATATGATCCCTCGTCTCATGAACCCCTTTTTGTCCCGATTGGGAATCGATGAGCTCTCATCTGCTAACTTTCCCTGGGAAATTTTCCCACTGAAAAGGCCCTAAAAACACTGGAGCTTTCAGTCATGTGGCTTTTGTGCTTAAATTCACGGGGCGTTTTCTGGGAAAAAAACAGATTCAAATCAACAGTTTTATTCAATATCAAAGTAGTGAATCGCTATAGATTTAGTTCTTTACCCAGAAATCGACGAGCATTCATAATTGGATAGTTTTTCTGACTCCTGACGTTGTTTCATATCAAATTACACTTCACTCAATCCCAGGAACTCAGCGAACACAAAATGCTAAAATCTCAACGTTAGGATTTAAATGATAATGTTTTTGCTTTTTTTCGCTAAGATTTTAGCCATTCGACTCCATTTCTTAACAGCTTAGCACTTTTCATCTAAATTACCTGCTTTCTTTTAGCTTGTTTGGCTCACTGGGCTGCAACCGCGCAAAATAGATTTACTGCGACTGTGTCGCAAACCACCGAATTTTCATGAACGAGTTGGCAAAGGTAATGGGATATTTTACAAGTTGGTGGATTGCAAATGAATGTATTCAGTGCGATAGAAATTAATATAGCGAATGGCAATACGGGAGTGTATGGTCAACAGTCGGGTCACTAATTAATTTAATTAAATATTTAAATTACCAATCGGTGTATATGTAGAATATTCCATTAAATTGCACCCCAATGGCCCCATTCCGGCGCGTGTGTTGTATTGTATTGCGAAATTCGCTGAGGTGCGCGCTGTGTTTAATTTAGTAGTAAAATTCATTATGTGCCAAATTATTTTCCTGACAAAAACTCGCTTCTCCCACCGCAGAGTCACTGACCCCATGGCTGTTTTTCATCATGTTTGGGGAGGTGGTGTTTACTGAATTCCCCGCGTGCCTTCACTCGGTCAGATTGCAAATATTTTTCTTCAATTGCAATCCTTTTATCCTCCCGGAATGACGCAATTAAATAGTTGGTGGAAAGCACCAAACAGTCACCCCACATTTTCCCACTAATTAATGCTCCCCGCCATCAGAGGCACTGCAGTGCATTCTTGGATACTTTGGCCCTTTATGTTTGGGGCTCATTTTAATCAAGTCGAAACAATTAGATATTCATGGATATATGAAAATTTGATGGGGAAATTCAAAATCTAGTCCATGCAGCGCAACTAATGTCCTTTCCCGCCTCCTGTACAGCTCTGCATGGGCGTGCAAAAGTTACTCCTTTTCGGGCTTAACAGCAACCCAGTGTGGGGGTGAAATCAGGCGGGTTTCAGATGTGCACATAAAGCATCCTCGTCTGAACAAGATATGGAGTTAACGCGAGAGTTTTGGCAATTTATGCAGATTTATGTTGGTTTTAGCGTCAAACTTTAACGACACTATCCGCTGGGTGAAAAACAGGCGCCCAACAGTGGGGTGGGGGGAAATGTGTCAGTGGTGGAAAAGTGGCGAATGAATGGATGATGAGGTTTTGGCAAAATGGGCAAGAAATTACAATTCAATTGGCATTTTAGAGGCTCTGCATGTGGGAGCACAATTTTCATTTCATTTCAACGCCAAATGCACAGAATCTGCTGGCAAAGTGTGTGCAAAAGGAGAGGATAAATTTGAGGCAATATTTTTGGGTTAAATTTAATTTTGGCCACCACCTATTGAGCCCACGTTCAGAGGGGTTTTACATCAAATCTACCAAAGCTATTGATTAGATTGATGAGGGGTATTTCGGGACCCTCTTTCTCGCCCTTCAATGGGGGCGAGTTGCATGAAAAACAAACTTCCGCATAAGTTTCATTGATGGATGAGCTTTTAATGTATGCTTCAACCCCGAAACTCGTTTTTCTACCCTCCTTCTTCTTCTCAATGGACATCACATTGCAGTCCATTCGTTGCCTCTTTTTCTGGCCATAAGAAAGTCCTTTGCCAAGGCATTGGAAGGACTTTGATGAGAGTGGTTGATGTGAAATACATTTGAAAAACACTTCCCGTCAGGAAGAGTGTTTCGATGAATGTTGCTTAAAGGTATTAGAAATAGGAGGACTTTTATGGAGAGCAAAAAAAACATCAAATGGATTTCCATTCTTTGGCTTCTCTGTTGTAGTTTCTTGGTTATACTTAGAATTGATTTCGGGCAAGCTGAAAGTGGAAGGAAAAGTGAACAGGAAATATGTTTCTGTCCTCACAAAAAGGCCATTTCTACCAAGTGGTCGTTCAATATATCGAGCAATTGCGAATAACAATGAAAATATCCAGTCGTTGGAGTGAAATCGGAATCTGAGCGCTCAGGAAAAAGCCCGAGAAAATTAATATAAATGGCTGAATAACAAATAAATTGAATGTCAAAACCATACAATTGGGGAATATGTGGCGGGATGAAGTGAAGCAAATTGGCGGAAGGAATGGGAGAGAGATGTTAATCCTGAGTTCCAGAGATGAAATTGATCAATAAAGTCGGAGCATTTCTCACACACCAAGTGATAAAAATGTTGCCTCTTTTTTCCCCCCATCAATTTATGAGTGCAGAAAAAAGATATTCAACAAAACTCGATCACTGCAGAAATAAATTGAAAACTCCCAGTGCGAAGGAATGTTGCGAAAGCAATGAAAATTACATGCCCACACACACATACTACATACATTGGCCTGTCTCTGATTTATAGATATTGCAGTGATGTGCCTAAAAGTTGGGCAATTTCATCGATACAAAATTAATTTATTGCCCCGAGGCGAAGTTTGTGATAAATTTTCCTCTCCTTTCCAGATGAATTTCTTCCTGATTTGCTGCCTGGCCGTGGCCTCGCTCTCGATATTCCCCACCAAGACACAGTGTGCCCCCGAGAAGCACGATCTGGAGGCGTCAGTGGGTGAGATTTGGCAGGAGGACGACCATGAGGTGCTCATAAGGAATCAGCGAGGCACGAAGAACATCAGCGGAGCCGCTGGTGTGTCCGGTAAGAGAGAGAAGCTGAGCAAAGTTAGTAGAAAGCAGGACAAACAGAAAGATGCGCTGTCCAGTGAGAAACAGATGCAGAGTAAGTTTTACCGCTGAGATAAAGAGGAGTGTTGTGATTAGCTAACTAACAGCGGACTAACACCAGTAATTCAGTGGATTTTCGGTGATTATAAAAATGTACACACACACAAAGCATAATCTGAGGATTTGCAGAACAACTTTACAGCTCGACTAATCCCCAAAAATGCATATTAATCCTCTTTCACATCCTTCTGTCGCTTTCACACCATTTGTACACTTTTTTCCGTAAAATTTTATTTTCCAAACCTCGTTGCAACTTTACTTTCATACCATTTTTGGTATGAAAGGTGTTGCCAGATTACGATTCATATAATTTACGATAGTGAAGAATTTAACTTCTTTAAGACTTAAAAAGTTTCATAAAACCGGAAAATTGACGTGAAAACCAAGGAAATAGACAATAATTATGTTATTATTGGATTTTTCTCGCTATTTGTGAACATTTCAATGCGCAAGATTGAGATTATGTCTTTCTGGACATTCTTCAATCGTTTCCAAGGAAACTAATTGGATTCCTAAAGCATTTGCAAGTACATAAAAAGCAATATTTTAATTCTATTTATTATTAAAGTGCAAATGTGCTAAAATGTCATAACAACAAGTTCATTTAAATAAACTCTCGACTGCACACTAGCGCCGCTGGGCGGCCACCAATATAAGCTATTTAAACGTAATGTTGCAACACCCAATTAGTAGCTTTTACAGAGGGAAATACGAAATCCGTAAAGTTGCAACGACCCATCAATCAGAATTCGAGAGAGAAAATATAATTAAATTTAATTTGAGGCACGAGTTGAGCAGCTGAACGCTGTGATTAGCAGTCAAAGTCAGTCTTTTCGATAAACGTTTGGGATTGTCGAATATAAACTCGAGGCGATATTTTATTCTTCTCCCAATACTGGAGCTTTCAGGGAAGTTTTCTCAAGAGGAAATTCCCACCCACACTTGGAGTGCGCGCGTGTATATTTTGAAAACGTTGAGCGGGCAAAACTTTGGTAAAACTTTAATCTTCAGTGTCCTTTCGAGCGCCGCGCGGAGTAAAGTTGAGTGAGTTATATAAGAAAGTGGGTTGGGAGCCGTTTATGAGGCCACTTTGGGAGTCTTATCGCGGCCACCGAAGTGTTGTACATTCGCTCAAGTCCATTTATTTCTCCGCTTCAGCCTTTCAATTGACGATTTAATCGCCCTCGGGAAGATCGCATCCTCCACTCTCTGTGTGTGTCTGTCTTGTGTGTCACAAGGATCCTTTCGTCGCCTTGGATCCTTTTGTCGAGGGTTACGCAATTGAGCAACTTTCAAAGTTGAAAGAGAGAGCGAGTTGGGGGGGGGGAGAAGAAGGAAATGAAAATTTCAGACACTTTTCTTTCGTGTCCCGATAAAGTGATGAGTCTCCACAAAAGTGACTTTTTCATTCATCCGCCAACAAACACTGTCATGCACTTAACAATAAAATAACAACAACAGGATGAACAGCCAAGAATAACAACACAATGGGAGTATTTTCACTTTGTCTGGACGAGAGCGCGCTGAAGACACATGATGGGCTGTTGGAGGAGCGGGATAAAAAAGCCCGTAGAGAGTTAAGGGAAAAGTTGGTCTTGCAACTTGCCACGGAGCTTTCTGATGTGTGTGTATGTGTGTGTGTGTGCGTTTGTGAAGGACAGAAACAATGCACAAGTCTCAATCCGCCCACAATTTCAAATGAGTTTTGCCCTGGCGAACAGGAGTTACTTTTGCCCATCATCAAGACCATCTTTCCGGGAAAGAAAATTGCACAAACTTTCATCGGCAGAGGATGGAGAGAATTTTTCTGGTGAAATCATTAGAGACAATCTCGAAAAAAAATTTGGTATTTTCCTGTACAGTGAAAATTGGAAAACTTTCCCCAAATGACACACTCGACACACTCCTTATTGAGAACAGTCACAGAGTTGTTTAGAGCTCTTGAAGTGTTGAAAAATCGGATGTTCATCTGTCCAATTTTGCATGTCAAAGTTCAACAACTACATTTTAGAGTTTGTATAATCCTGTTTTAGATATTCATGGGATAGTGAATGGTGAATATTTTAATTGAGATTGAATTAATGTGTTGTGTTGTGGGTGAAAATTCCTCCTGGCGCCGGGGTGCTTTTGTCTATTTTCGTCACCAGCAAAATTCCATTTCCATGGGAAAAAAGGTCGCAAAATTAAATGGGGAAATTTGTGGTGGCAGGCAGACCGATATTGGGACGTGCGTCGCTCGCTTTTCACCGGTGGAAATTCTTAAAATATTAATTAGGACACCCGGGAAATGAACGTCATCGGCATTCCATCGACCTTTTCTCCCACCGTGTGAAGGTTGGCTTGTGGATGGGGACGAAGAGATCCTTTTTTCCTGGCCATAAGGTGCAATTTGGTGACGTCTTTTTCGCCACGCTTCGCTCGTAAATTTTGGCATTTTGGAGAATGAGAGGAGACAAGATGTTGCCTAGGTTTTGTCTTTTGTATGCAAAAAGTCATGTGACGGCGGAATAAATTTTCATGTGAAGAATTAAATTATCATTTCAGACATCAATCAGGGGAGTTTAATGAGATTTTCATCTCATGAAATTACACGGAACAGTGGATTTTTTCTCTCTCTCTCCGTCGTCACAATTGCTTCTGAGCTCGAAGGGATGGCGGAATGAGTGTCCTGAATGGATGCCGGAGTTCCTCAACTCAGTGGGGACAATAAATCTGGGATCAGAGGAGAATTTGTTGTGTGAAATATTGTTGATCACTTGGTGTGTGTTTGATAAAACACGCTGGGGAGTTTGCGGGGGAGTAAATTACAAAATTAAATTCAATTCAACCCTCCTCATTTTGCATACAAAGCACACACTCACGGGGTGCGGGCGGGGACAAGGGGGGTGGCAGAAACTCAAGTGATTAACAAAGTGTAACAAACTCTGTCATCTCTGCCATAAAGCAGATGGCCTTAGTTTTGTGAATTGTGGAGTTTCTGAGAGATGAAAAGCCGGGAGCAAAACTTGGCGACTCTGTGCAAGTCGCAAGGATGCACACTGATCCTAATTGCATGATGTAGTAAACTAATAAACTAATAAGTCTGTGATTGAGTAACTGACGGAGACTCCCTCTAATGGCATTTTCCCCGATATTGCAGGATCCTGCCGGTACGTGAAGAGCGCCTGGACTGAGTGCGATGCCAAGACAAATCAACGATCACGAACACTGACACTGAAGAAGGGCGAGGAGGGATGCGTCCAGACCCGAACAATCCAGAAGAAGTGCAAGAAGGGTGAGGCTAATCAATAATTTTTGGGTTCTATTTTGGGGGGCTGGCATATGGAATTACTGGCCCGGGAAAAGCTGCTCTCTCTTGCCATTGAGCATGTTTTTCATAACATGAAATTTCCCTGGCGTGCGTTTTGGTCACTCTGGCAGTATTCTCATGGGGGCCCAGCTTTTGGGGAGGAGTGGAGAGCATTGCCACCAAATCACGAATACCATCCACTCGATTGCCACCCATTCGGCTGGCAAAAACTGAGAGTGAATGATAAAAATTTCATTTACCAGAGAGTTTTTTTGCCCCAGGAAATTCAGACGCATGATAAGAAAATTAACCGGATATTAAAGTTGAGGTGAGTGTGTGCACAATGTTGGGGAAAAATGCCATTTTCTCCTCCACAAACTTTTCTGGATGGTGGAAAAAATCCAGTGAACAAATTCACTGCATGAATTCTCTCCATTGAATTTCTTTCCTCTTCAAACTTTCATGGCTTTTCACTCCATATACACACATCTCATCTTCTTCGCGCTTTTATCCCTTTTCTTTAGGATTTATTTAACGTCAAGATGCTACAAAGGAATCCGTCAAAAATCAAACAAAGAATTTCTGAGTGGAAAATTCTTCACTGTAAACTCCAACAATCATGACTGTATTCTTGCTCTTGACATTTATTATTAGAAGAGAGAGAGAGAGAGAGAGAGAGAGAGAGAGAGAACGAACCAGGAAAAGAAGTGTACGGAAAAATATATTCAAAGTGTGTTTAATCTCCACTGACAACGCGAGTAAAAAGTAACAGACATTTATCTGTTTGTCAGCCGTGTGCGGAAAGGGATGAGAGAATTTCCACCACCCTCACCCCACATCCTTTTGCGATCCTCTGCGCGCCGACAATCAGGGAATGAAAATTCATGCACAGAAGTCAAATTGCAAAAGTTGAGGCAACTTTTTCAATTTCATTTTCCATCCATTCACAAATTCACGGGTGCAAAAAGGACGCGCGCCGTCCGTTTGGAAAAAGGTGTTTGTTTTTGCCACCCACACAGAGAAATGTGTGGGTGGTGGTTTGGGAAAAACGTGGAAATCAAAATTGCGGCACGATGATGGGGAGCAATGAAAGTTTAAGTGGAACATCTCTCGTGAGATTTTGCTGTGATCTGCAATTTCGCGTTGCGAAATCTCTGAGGCTCAATGAAGTGACGAAAATTGTCTTACAAGACTCTCGAGGAGCCCATTAAGGACGAGAGCATTGGGAAGTGCTTAAAGGCAAGGGGAGGAAATTTGCCGGTGCGCTTGTACAATTTGTGAGTTATTCACTTTGCTGGATTTTCTGCTAGAGAGAAAAATAGGAAAATTGCATGTAAATTGATCATGGCAACAAGTGTGCACAAAATGCACTTCCTTCAGCACTGAATTTGAGAGTCAAGCGTCTTCGCATTGTTTATGCCAAAGGGGAGATAATATGCTCTTAATATTTCGACAAAAATTCGCAAAATATATTAAATATCTTAAGGTTCCATGCGAAATTTCTGTAAAAATCCACTGAAAAATCCCTTATTTCAGCGTCTTTTCCGATCATAACCTCAAAAATTTCTAAAATCATCTTTTATGAGTTGCCACTAAACGCAAAATTGATTATTTAAAGTCAAAATCGTGCAGAAAATGGTCTAAATAGACATTTTCCAAGTCCACAAAACTCTTTTCGAGATTATTTGCAGTGTTTTTGATACAAAAATGCCTAATTTTGTTAATTACCAGCAATCTTGGCGACTTTAGCATAAGAATTGATGACCTAAAGTATGAAATATTTAGTAAATCCGTTCTCGAGTCGTTACATAACCTAGAAAAGGATTGTTTCTTTGTGAAATTCAAAGGAAATCCGGGCGATTCAAAGAATCTGAATGATTAGTCAGTAGAAGAAACACACAGGAAAGAAAAGTTGTGTGTTTTTGAACTTCTGCTGACCTGTACACCACTTCTGACCATATTATCTCCCCCTTGGTTTCTGCTTTGCACACACAAAGACAGCGCCTTGTGAAGAGCTCGCTAAATTCATTTCACCTCCGTTCTTGGGATTTCCATCGCACCGGCAAATCCAGATGTCTGTCGGTGGAGTGGGAAATGAGGGCTAATTGGGATCGATGAAAGGTGTTTGGTGGAGAGTCCTTAATTAATTTCCTCCCTTCCTGTGTTGTCGTCAGCTTGTCGCTACGAGAAGGGCGCCTGGTCAGAGTGCATAGCCGGCAAAATGTCGCGCACGGACAAATTGAAGGCCACCAGCGATGCTGCCTGCGAGTCCACTCGAGTGGTGAACAAGAACTGCAATCCGGGGAAGAACAGCAAGGGTGGCGAGAAGAATGGAGCCAACAAGGAGCAGCGCCAGAAGAACATCAAGGAGAAAGGTAATGAGCACATGATCTAGAGTTGCTTGTATTTCACAACATTTCTCATCAACAGACAATCAATTGTGTCGTCCAATAAAACTTTGATTAGACTCTGACCAAAAATTCATGTCGCCTGACGCGAGGCGTTGTGAGAGAAAAAAAAAGTGGTTCAAGAAGTCAGCGCAATTGACGCAATATTGTAGTCAAAACGTTGTTCACATTCCTAATCAATTTGAGACTCATCGCGACAGTATTTTGTCAACAGTTCCATTAACGGGGGTCTAATTTTACTCACGGCAACCACAAAAACTCGCCTCTGGAGTCTGTTTTTTTTCTGCACACAGGGCAAAAAAAAGAGGCAAGAAATGTAAATATCAGTCTCTTAAACACACGATGAGAGAGTGAAGAAGTCGCCCCGAAAGGGAGGAAGACAGAAGAAACTCTCAAAAACTGGTATTCCAGTTGGTGGGCTTTGGGAAGAGAAAAAAAGGCATCGCACGCGTGTTATTTTTGGCTCCAAAACGATAAGGCGATCTTCTCGTTGTGCCTAAAATAAGAAGGAGTGTGAGAAAAGAGATGAAATGGAATGCGCGCGTGATTTCTTTTCCATCAAAAACCCGCGATGCTCCTTCGGCTTCACGTACAAAAGCATGTTCCATTGAACTCTGCCATGGCGATTGGAGTTTATCTCCCACTTTTCCTCGCTGTGGGGCATTTTCAGCGGGTGGCATGAACTGCTGATGCCTCAACTTGGAGTGATTATGGACTTGCAACTGATACGAATTCGCGACAGTCTCACTCCGTTTTGCAATGACTCATTAATTTCTTCTCCGCTGTTTATGAGATAAAACTTCTCAGTCTTCTCAGTATTGTGAATGTGAACCTCAATTTAACCCTTCAACGAGTTGATAGTCATAGAAATAGACACCAATAGAAGCCCAGATGTGGATTTAATAATGTGTCAGTATTTTTACTCCACAGTAATATTAATCAATTGAGTTTTCTTTGGTGCATTTTTGAAGAAGAATTTGAATTTGACCCCATTAAGCAATTGTTTGTGTGTGATTGAAATATCATAACTCAGCAATTTAATTGCTGACAACATCATTGTGCTTATTTCATATTCCAACAATAGTCGCATTTTATGGGGTTTTACAATTAGTTGAAATTGAATCAAATCAAATTCAACTGTCCCAGCGAGCCCAAAAGCTAAAAGAAAGCAGCTAATTTAGCTAAAAAGTTATAAGCTGCTAATAAATTGAAACGGCCAGCGATCGCAGTAGACAATGGAGGAAACTCAATAGAAAATACAGCAATTTAAAACATAATATGAAGCCAATTTGTTCTTCAATTTCCTTCATAATTTTAGCAAATTTTTCTACTGTTTTTCGCTAAATATTGCAAAATTTATTGTTTTTTTCTGATCAAAACTTAGCAAGTGTCATATAAAAATGTCTTTGTGGCCTCAAAAATCTTTAAAGCCTTCAAATTTCAAAGCGCTATTTGTACAAATAATTTGAGTGTTGTTATCACGAACTATATTATTGAAATGACATGAGTTTACTTCATGCGACATCTATGCATTTAAGTGCACATCAATACTTTGACTGGTAGCCGCTACGTTCGCTAGTGCATCAACCAAATGGCTAAAATCTTAGCTAAATAAAGCAAATATATTTACTTTTTAAATCTTAACGTTGAAATCTTACCGTTTTGTGCTCGCTGGGCTTTGACATCCAGAATTCAGTTAATATAGTTGCGTCTTATCTGTTGAAGAAAACGCAAAAACCAGTCACTTTGCGAATTATAACTAGAGAGCATTCCTGGAAAATGTTCTTTTCGCTCATTTCCACGCACGTTCGTGGCCGAATTGCGAATATTATTAATGGACTATTGAGCCGGAAGCTGAATGTTGTAATTAATGACTTTCCAACCTTTCATCCTCAAACGTGGCGGAGATGAAAAGCCAGGCGTTCGCCGAGTGGGAGTTCGATTTAATGAAAATCACATTGCGATCATCTGGAAAAAGTCGGAATGAGTCGCGAAGGTGGAAATAATTTTGGCGCAATATTGTGCAGTTCAATCGCTGTTCAATTTCCTGTGTTTGACGAAAAATTGATCTCTTCGCTAATGTTTTTTTCCCTCTCTTTTTCTGTGTGTGTATTTTTTTCAGGCGGACGCAAGAGTCGCGCTTAAGATTCTTCACAAGTCACACAACGTCTCAAGATGATTAAAGTTTTTTGGAAATTGCGTTGAGTTTCACGAGAGAGAGAGAGAAAGGAAAACCTGCCAATCTGGAGAAAACCACCAAGGAAAAAAGCAACAGTTGAGAAAGGGAAATTCTACAGGAAATTTGAGCCCAACAGAGATTTGATGATGATTTAAAAAAGGCGAAATGGTGTTTTATAGCTGATTTTTTCATTCTTTGCATAAACCGGTGAAAAAAAAAGATATTGTAAAATTTTATCAGTGTAATTTTTTGTACAAAAAAAAGAAATAAGAGGTGACAAAAGAGCCGACGAAAGTGGGTTTTTGGAAAGAGTAAAATTGAAAAGAGAGACACCTTGTTTAGGCCACCTTATGTCTTCGTTTTTGGATTTGAGAAGAGAGAAAAAGAAATATAAAGAGAAATATTTGTAGTCCGATTAGAAAATAATCACCTTTTTTCGACTTCTCGAGAAGCACTTTTTGCAAGACAGAGAATAGAAATAGACATAAAGTAATAGTGTAATAGTTAAACTATAAAGAAAAAATCTTAATTCTTCAGGATATACATAAAAAAAAGGCATAAAATAGAAGTGAAGGACATTTTTCATAGTGAGACGTAAGAGAGTTGTTTTAATCATTCTTTTTATAAATTCATCACTGCAAATTGGTGAGCAGTTGTCGGTCGCGACGGACGGCGAAAGGAGTGGACAGATTACTTCTTAGATAATAAAGGATGAGAATAAACTTTATAGATATTTAGTCGTATTGGTGTTTAGATTTATAACTGAAGCCCGAGAGAAAAAAAATCAAGAGGATTACAAAAAGCTAAGAAAGGATCGATGAGTGGTGAAAAAAAATACAATTTTTTGCGTAATTTATAAAAGTAAAAATTATTCTCCAAGAAAAAATAGTAGGATTAATAAATAGTACCACACAATAAATCAAATGTTTCGAAGTAATAATTTTTTTATCTAAGCATCTAAAAAAATATTCATACTTAAATATAAATTCCATACCTTTTCTCTTCCGCAAAAGTACGAGACAGAAAATAATAATAATAAATAGATTACAAAAGTTGAAAGAAAGGGATAAGTGAAAAAAAGAGAAGAACAACGATTTTATAGGAATTCTAGCTAAATGAAAATTTACCGAGAGAAACAAACACAACAACACGACACGCGCATAAAGGAAAAAAAAGGAAAACTCCTGACAAAATAATGAAATTATTCTTGTAAATTGTACAGAAATTTGACTTTCATCGCGAAAAAAATACTCATTTCTCCAATCCTCACATGCTAAAATTTAATTTGTATACGAAAAAATGTTGTTTTTATCCTTTTTCAAAGTTCAGAAAAATTGTGAAATTTGGAAGAAAAAGGCGAATAATGGTGAACAGAGCAAAAAATCTTTTGTGATATGTTGTCATCAATGTAAAATTAATGTTTATTCTGTCGGATACAATAAAAATTAAAATATACTTAAAACAAGGATTTTAAGACTTTTTTCCCGCCGGCAGTGGCGCCATCTGGTAGAGGAGAATGTTGGAATCTTTATTTTCTGCATTTTGTAGGAAATTTAATGGACATTCTATCGACTCTTCGTTGGATTTTCTCGATTTTCTTCGCAGGGTTTGTTCGACATAACCTCGAATTTTGTTTATTTTGATTTCGCCGTCCGGGAGTGTTTTGAAATGTCCAAAGAGCCTCAAATTGGGGAGTTGAACAGCTCTGAACTGGGCACGAAGGAGTTCTGGGACAAGAGTTATGAGCTGGAGATTCAGAATTACAAATCGCACGGCGACGTGGGCGAGATTTGGTTCGACGAGAGGAGCCAGACGCGCGTGGTCAACTGGATCTTGAAATCAGAGGAGATCTCAGAGGAGGACAAGGTTCTGGACATTGGTGAGTGTCTTCAAGAGTCCTCAGAGTGGATTCTCATGCTTTTTATGCCGTGACAGGCTGTGGAAATGGCATGATTCTGGTGGAGTTGGCTGAGGAGGGATTCAAGAATCTCGTCGGAGTGGATTATTCTCAGCAAGCCATCGAATTGGCGAGATCCATCGCACAGGACAAGGAAATAGTCAGCATCAGGTATCAAACAATCGACATCCTATCGTCGGAAGCGGTGAAGGAGCTGGGAAACTTCCGGATAGCTCACGACAAGGGAACATTCGATGCAATCTGCCTCTGTCCTGAAGATCCAGCTGCCAAGAGAGCCATGTACCTCGAGAATGTCTACAATATCGTGGAGGAGAATGGATTCTTCATAATCACATCCTGCAATTGGACTGAAGACGAATTGAAGGCATTCTTTGGTGAGAAATTCCAGCTGAAGCACATTTTGCCAACACCAACTTTCCAATTCGGCGGACAAGTGGGAAATGTCGTGACCACAATCATTTTCCAAAAGACGAAATAAATATTTTTCTTGAGACAGTAGAAATTTGAAAAGCTATTTCTGCGAAATGCCACGAGAGGTGCTGGTGAGCAGGTGCACGTCAGCGCCCCTGGTGGCTTCCTATTACACCGCACGACGTCATTTCAACACGAGTTCCGACGGGAAAAGCAGTGAAATTCGGTGAAAAATGAGTTCCGCCCCGCCGCAATTTAAATGGGGGATTGTGAAACAAGTAAGTGGAAGTATGGGCCACCCCATTGTGGTGCAATTTCTGCTGAAAGTGTGAAAATATTGGGGAAAAGTGAGGGAGAAAAGTTCACTAACACACACATGCATGGTGTGCGAGAGAAAGCCACCAGCTGCCAACTTGGCACCAACAAGACGGCCCCTCTGGGGCTCCACGGTGCCCCTGGGCCACTCCCGAACTGCCCACAGTGGCCTGTGAGACTGCGGCGGATGGCAGGAGTGGGAAATTGGTCGGTGCTGAGCTCAAGGGAGGGGCAAAGTGGGGCCTTTCTTATCAGAAACGTGAGGCGCGTGGCATTCCGGTGTTCTCAATTCTCATCACTCTTCCAACTCTCTCGTCTCGTGCACCCGGAATGTGTTTATTTATAAGCACTTCCGAGAATTATCGTCACCACAACAAAACACCAGCCCCCGTTCTGTTGACTCTCTGGGGGATTTCAGGGGATTCCGCCACCCACGCAACCACTCTCGGGTTTATTGCCCCCTTGATGGGATTTCTTGACACTCTGGTTATCTCAAGGTTGGGCTTTCCGGCGAAGATGTGCGCTCAAATTTCCCAGAATTCCTCCATAGCAATGGAGATTATGCAGGTGGCGTGAAAAAAATTCCAGGTAGATTTACGCACACCATCAAAGGGCTTTCTCAGCTCTCTATCTCTCTCTTGGACGGTTTCCCAGGCGGGTTTTGGGTGAGATAATAGGGAGATTGTCGCTGGCGCCAGAGCCCTGGGGGTCCCGAGGGGGCGCCGTGGCCAGAGGAGAGGTGGAAAGTGGGTGTTTTCGAGGGCAAAATATGCTGACAGTTGGACATGCCCAACATAACCTCTGCAGTGACGTGACTCCACGTGGCGTTTTTGAGTCGTGCCCAAGCTCACGCCTTTGCCCACTTTGCAGGTCCTCTCTGGTGACTCAGTGATCATCCGTGGTCAGCCGCATGGGGGTCCGCCGCCGGAGAAGCAGATCAATTTCTCGAATGTCCTGGCGCCGAAGCTGGCTCGCCGCCCCGGCGGCGCCAATGCGTCCGGCGAGGACAATCGCGATGAGCCGTGGGCGTGGGAGGCGCGCGAGTTCCTGCGCAAGAAGCTCATCGGCGAGGAGGTTCACTTCACCTGCGAACGCCCACAAAAATCCACCCGCGACTACGGTGTTGTGTACCTTGGCAAGGATCCCGCCACGGCGCAGAACATCACGGAGCTGATTGTGGCCGAGGGCCTGGTGACGGTGCGCCGGGACAGCAGCCACACGTCTGCGGAGCTGGCGAAGCTGGTGGAACTCGAGGATGCGGCCAAGGCGGCTGGGAAGGGCAAGTGGGGCAACTCACCGCCGGCCGAGCATGTGCGCAACATCAAGTGGACGCAGGAGAATCCGCGCAACTTCGTTGAGCACTTCCATGGGAAGCCCATCAAGGCCATCATCGAGCACGTCCGCGATGGCTCCACCATTCGCGCCTTCCTCCTGCCCGATTTCAACTACATCACCCTCATCATGTCGGGCATCCGCTGTCCGGGCTTCAAGTTGGACAGCGACGGCAAGCCCGATCCCAGCGTCACGGTGCCGTACGCCGAGGAGGCGCGCTACTTTGTCGAGTCCCGCCTGCTGCAGCGCGATGTGGAGATTGTGCTGGAATCGGTGAACAACGCCAACTTCGTGGGCTCCATTCTCTTCCCCAAGGGCAACATTGCCGAGGCGCTGCTGCGCGATGGCTTCGCCAAGTGCGTGGACTGGAGCATGGCCTTCATGAAGTCCGGTGAGCTTCCTGTTCTGCTCGAGATTGGGTGCATCATTTCAGGAGTTAGAGTGGCGAATCTTGCTCTCTGCCTTCCAAGATGGTGCCAAATTGAAAATTCCCGGAGATTCTACTCGATGGCACAGATTTCTCTCAAGTGTCTATCGCATTTCACCCTCCGGACAGTCTTAACCATCATTTGACTGGTCATCTAACAGATTCTTCTGCATCTTTCAGGTGCCGAGAAGCTGCGCGCGGCTGAGAAGCTGGCAAAGGAGAAACGCCTGCGTCTGTGGAAGGATTACCAGTCGAATGTGCAGAACTTCAGTGGCAAGGAAAAGGACTTCTATGGCACTGTTATGGAGGTCTACAATGGCGATGCCCTGAGCGTGAAGAGTTCGAGTGGTGCTGTGAAAAAGGTCTTCCTAGCCAGCATTCGTCCACCACGCGAGGCCGCCCGTGTGGCTGGTGAGGATGGCAAAGTGCCACCGCGCTCCAAGAACCGTCCCTTGTACGAGATCCCGTGGATGTTCGAGGCCCGCGAGCACCTGCGCAAGCTCATTGGCAAGAAGGTGCACTGCGTCCTGGACTACATCTCACCTGCCCGAGATAACTTCCCGGAGAAGTACTGCTACACCGTCACGATGGGCAAAACGTGAGTGTCTCTTTCACGGTGTTCGCAATGGTAGTCGGTTGCTTCTCCCTCAGTTAGGCATCATTGCTGGAGGTTTTGATTCCTTCTCCGGACCAATGAGTTCACTGTGGGACAGATAAAACACTGGACAGTACGCTGGGAGGGATGGTGTTCATGGTCTGATGAACATTTATCGCACAGCAATTGTTACATTGGAAGCTTACTTAAGCAACTCTTCAGCCGTAAACTGATGTTTTTTTTCCTTTCTCTCTTCGCATTTGCAGCAACGTGGCTGAGCAACTGGTGTCTGAGGGACTTGCCACTGTTGTGAGATACCGTCAGGATGATGATCAGCGCTCCTCCCAGTACGATGGACTCCTTTCGGCGGAGGCTCAGGCCACCAAAGCTGCCAAGGGTGAGTTTAGATCTTTCCTTGTAAGGCACGGAAAAACCCACTTAACAAGCCATGATTGCTCAGTGTGAATCTTCACAGTCCAGAGATTTGTGGTTGTACCGGTGGGAAGAGGATCTAATGCCATTCCGTGGCGCCCTTTCCTGATACTCTCTCTCTCCAGGAGGGTCAGGATTCAGTCGCGCTGGCACATTTGCATCCCACAAACTTGAGAGAGAGAATTACAAATTGACGCTCTATGTCCTTTGTGTCCTTCAGGTGTCCATGGCAAGAAGGATAAACCCGCCCATCGCATTACCGACTTGACTGTCGAACATTCCCGCATCAAGCATCAGTACTTGCCGTCGTGGTTGCGCGCCCTCAAGACTGACGGCATTGTTGAGTTCGTGGCCAGCGGCTCCCGCTTCCGTATCCTCGTTCCCAAGGACAGCTGCCTGGTGACATTCCTCCTGGCGGGCATCTCGTGTCCGCGCTCAGCTCGTCCCGCCGCCAATGGGATGAACGCCCAGGAGGGCGAGCCGTATGGCGATGATGCGCTGAATTTCACCAAGGAGCGCATCCTGCAGCGCGACGTGCAGGTGCACATGGAGGGCACCGACAAGGCCGGCACCAGCGTGATTGGGTGGCTCTGGGCGGAGGGCAATGTGAACTTGTCTGTGGCGCTGGTGGAGGAGGGTTTGGCCACTGTGCACTTCACGGCGGAGAAATCTGAGTACTATCGCGCTCTGAAGACGGCCGAGGACAATGCCAAGGCGAAGAAGAAGAACATCTGGTCCACGTATGTGGAGGAGCCGGAGGGTGAGAAGGAGAAGGACGGCGAGGTGGGTGACAAGGAGGATGACAAGGTGGTGGAGCGCAAGGTGAATCATGAGAAGGTGGTGGTGACGGAGATTACGCCCGAGTTGCACTTCTTTGTCCAGCATGCCGATCAGGGGGCGAAACTGGAGGCGCTGATGACGAAGCTGAGGCAGGACTTTAGCGTGTCGCCACCCATTCAGGGCGCCTACACGCCCAAGCGAGGGGATCTCTGTGCGGCCAAATTCACGGAGGACAATGATTGGTATCGGGCCAAGGTGGAGCGTGTCACCAAGTCCAATGTCTCCGTGACCTACATCGACTACGGAAACAAGGAGGTGAGTTGTCCTGACTGCGTGTGGGAAGTGCTGTGCAAGCTCCATGATCCCATTCCTGTGTCAAAAGGAGTGCTAGAGTCATTAGCTTGCGAGAGGAAATCAATTGAGGAGTCACCGTCATCTCAGTTCTGTCTGCATTCGCCTTGAAAACAGTCGGCAAATACCCTCTGGAACCAGTGTCTGCCCGATGGTCACTCTCGGGAGTGCTGAGTGAGGTCTGGGAAGCTCTGCAGTGTTCTACTGTTGGGGATTTCTGGTTCGAACTCACCCGAGAGATGCTCCAAGGGTGGATGTTTCAGGGCATGTCGACTGTGAATGCGACTGACGACTGGGAAACCTCCTCTTGAGACATTTTATCTGCCTCTAATTGGAGTCATGATGGCCAGTGTGAAGATTTGGGCTAATTGTGGATGTCTTTCAGATGCTTCCGCCATCCCGCCTCGCGATTCTTCCACCTGCCTTCACGACGGACAAGCCGTACGCCACGGAGTTCGCTCTGGCCTTGGCCCTGCTGCCATCGGACGACGATGATAAGCAGGAAGCGTTCAAGATCTTCCGGCAGGACGTGACCGATCGCACTCTGTTGCTGAATGTGGAGTACAAGGCCAACAACTTGGCGCACGCTACTCTGCAGGATCCCAACACCAAGGCGGACATCGGCAAGGCGCTCATCAACGATGGCTATATCCTCTGCGAGAAGCGTCGGGAGGGGAAGTTGGCCAAGCTCGTGAGTAGTCAGCAATTGACAGGAGTGGCTGGACATTGGCTTGACGCTTTGAATGTCTTCTTTGCAGCTCGAGGAGTACAAGGAGGCCGAGAGTGCCGCCAAGAAGGCCCACAACGGCATCTGGGAGTATGGCGACATCACTGAGGATGATGCCAAGGAATTCGGTGCCGGACGCTAAATTGCTGCAGCTTGAGCGCGCGCGCCCCTGCGATCATTTCTTTTTATGCTTTATCATTGAACAAACCCTGCATCCTTTTTTATTTACCTATGCGACCGCCGCGATCCTCCAGCGAAAAAACTTCCAAAATATACACATTGAAATTTTTCAGTAAAGCCAACAAACACACATGAAATGTCCTGGACAAAAGGAACACACTTCCCCAATGATCGTAAGTGAAAGAAAAAGAAAGAGAAAACACAGCCCGGTTTTCTTATTTTACAAGACGAAAAACAAAATCCAACCAGCAAAAAGCATAGAGAATATTATCAAAGTTGAATGAGTAAATTCTCCTTCTAAAAACATGTTTTATACAGACGATTTTAAAATTGAATAATAAAAAATTTTAGAATTGATTGCAAGTGCGGCGGCGGTTTCTTTTGGCGGCGGCAGCGGCGCTCGCGGGACTTTCTCCACTCAGTGGCGCTGCCGTCGGACGCGTGTACTAAAAATTCCACTTTGGTGCGGCCGCCATTTTGCTTTTCAGTCTACCGTCACGTCCATAGCTTCCTATCGGAGCCATATTTTCGCGGATATTTTTCAGAGAAATTCACCCGCTAGGAGCGTGAAAGCCGTGCTGAAAACACCGCAATTCGGTGGCAGACAGTGCCAGTGAGTGATTCTCCGTGTTTCCCCGGCTGCAGCTCCGCGTTTTATGCTCAAATCCCCACAATATTGTTGCTCGATGACGTCATAGGTTCAAGGTCTGACGTTGCAGTAGACCTCCTCCGGAGAGTGAATTTTCTCCGCTTTTCCACACCGCGCCTCGCGCGAGGCGTCCCCGGGAGTTGCGCCCCACTCACCAGCGTTTCTCTCTGCAGGCGGATGCAGTAGGAAGAAAAATATGTCCGTTCAGCAATTCTGCCTGCGCTGGAACAATCACCAGCCCAACTTCATTTCGGTCTTCTCGTCCCTCCTGCACAATGAGACGCTCGTGGACGTCACCCTGGCGGCGGACGGGAGCCAGCTGCAAGCCCACAAGGTGGTGCTGTCGGCCTGCAGCACCTACTTCGAAGTGAGTATGGCGCCCCCTTTTCTCACCACGCGCACACAGCGCCCCAGAGCGCATCATTTCAGGAGACAGAGCGCCCAATCTTGCGCTCTGCCTTCCAAGATGGTGCCAAATTGAACACCCGGAGACTCTACGCGATGGCACAAATCTCTCTCTCTCTGAGTGTCTCACCGCATTTCACCCTCCGGACAATTCGCTTCCCTCTAAGAAGTTAATTATTGTTGGGCAAAATACGTGTCGAGCCGTCAATTTTCGACACGTAATCCGACATTCACGTGTCGAAAAATGTAAATAAAGCAATTAGCGACTGTTATCAGTAATTTGTGTTGGCCTTCCAAGGCACGGCATCCTGCTTAAAAGTCCTGAAGCTCAATTGGAATTAATTCCAAACTTGCGGACAGAAAAAATGCCTTGCATGAGATGTAAATATTTGTGGAAAGATCATTTGTTTCTGCCCCAGAATCCTCCTAGTCTGTCTTAAAAGAATAAATGGAAGAGAAAACAGAAATTTTTCAAGTCACCTTCAATGCCTAATATTTATTCAGTTCAACCCGCGAATGTCAATTCATGTTCGCATTGCCAACACTTTTGGGGGAACCTTCACGGATCCTGTGTTTGTCTCTCAGTGACCCTGTCGCTTGGGGTGGAGGTTAGACAATTTTCTGCCTTCTCTGCACTCTCTTCTGCATCCCTTAAAGGCCTTAAAGAGACGATTTGGGGGGGAAAATGTGTGTGTTTTTTGTGGTTTGCTTGACTAAATGGAATCTCTCTCTCTTCTCCTCGTCCTTTGCAGAGTCTGTTCACATCGAACCCATGCCGCCATCCCATAGTGATCCTCAAGGATGTCCGATACAGTGATCTGAAGACACTGGTGGACTTTATGTACTATGGCGAGGTGAATGTGTCGCAGGAGCGACTGCCGCACATAATAAAGACGGCGGAGATGCTAAAGATCAAGGGCCTGGCGGAAATGTCAGATGCTGCCTCACTGAGCAAATCCGAGAGCAAGTCCTCATCATCAGACACTGAAACATTGACGACAAATGTAATTGTGAATGATGATGGTGAGTCGCCATGGCGGACGTCGCATACTCAACATTCTCTCCTCCACCGGCAGCAGGTGACACAGTCCACGGGGGCGTCACAGCAGCAGCAGCAGCAGCAGCAGCAGGCGTCCCAGCAGGCGGCGCACATTCACAGCCGACGGACACCGTCGCCGGCGACAATGTCGCCAGCGGCGCGGCGAAAGCGCCTGCGGAAGTCGTCCACGGGTATGCCGGAGTATCCGATACGCAAGGAGCATTACGTAACTGATGATGACTTCCGCCCAGGTTCGGGCTCAGTGTCGGCGGCGGAGCGCACGTCGGGCGAGGAGCACAGCAATCTTGAGGGTGGGCCCAGTGGGGCGTCGGCCATTCACATGCAACACATGGATCCAATGTCATCATTCGCCACGGCCAGCAATCTCACGTCCACCATCAGCAATGCGCGCATAATTAAGGACTCACCCAGCTCGGATACGGAACAGCCGCAGCACGAGACGTCGCAGGAGAGTGTGGACGAGCAGGGATCTGTGCAGCATCATTCAATCGTTGTGGTGAGTCCCGCCGATCGTCATGTGCTCTTTGACTGTCCATTAACGCACATTTCGCATCATGCGTTGCAGAAAACCGACAGTGACTTAGATCACGTGTCACAGCCGATGCCTTTGGACATAACTGGATCATCCTCATCGGGACCGTCAGTGTCTCAGCCACAGTCTCAGCATTCTGGTGAGTTGTCGCAATTCCCTTCTATTTTGTCTCTTCATCTCTGCCGTGTGTTGCCGTTGATATTCTGAGCTTTTCGTCAATGCAAGGAGGAAAGTTTTGATATAAATTTAATTGTTTTCTCTCAGAATATCAGCCACACACACAGTTGAGTTCGTTTTTCTCTTTGTTCACACGTAAAGTCAGGTATTTCTTTCTGTATTTTTTCTTTCCACAAACACTTTCTTCTTCCTTTTACCTTCGAAAAAAAAACACTGACTTGAGATAGTGTGTCTCAAAGATTTTTACCCAGAAAGTTGAGATAAAAAGAAATTCTCAGCTCTTTAAATTCACTTTGCTATACATGTTATTATGTCTTTTATGGCTAAGCATTATGAGACAGAAGAAGATGAAGAATAAGAGGAGAAGAAAGAGAGAAGAAAATCCATTGATGTGCAGTGAAGACTGTAGTTGTAGTTTTTATTTCTTGTTAAAATGTGCAACTACACAACCTTTTCTCCATCTTTTAAAGACTCTTATGTTATTTGAGAGAGAGAAAGAGAGAGAGAGAAGAATTTTGTACATATAAAACCCATTTTATTCTGGAAAAGCTTTAGGAGTAGAAGAAAAGAGATAAAGAAAGAGAGAAGCTATGAAATTGTGTCAAATATGTTTACGTCTTTATTTATTTTTTGACTATCTGTACTACTGCTTAGCTTTTATTATTATTATTATGATTATTATTATTATAATTGTGGCGATGATTTGTTTTTGGTAAAAAAAAGAAAAGAAAAGACAAGAAAAACGAGAGGAAGTGTTGGATGGGACTGATGAGAAACAATTGTCAATCCAATTGCGATCTGGGAAAAGGCGAGAGCTTGTATTCGATCCGTTCAATTTGAGTTTATTCCTTTTTTTGATTGATTTTGAAGAAGAAGAAGAAAACAAACAAATTGGGGATTTTTTTCTCCTTTTTTTGCATTCCTTTTCGCTAAAACAAAAAAGCATCCAAGAAAAATGAGAATTGTAGTTGAGAAAATATCCATTCACTTCACTGCAACACTGTTTCTTTTGATATTTCGCGGGAGATTTTCTTTTTATTCCCCTGTTTTTTTTTTGTTTTTTTAATTACCTTTTTTCGTTGGATTTAAGATTGGGAAATCGTAAGAAAAGTGGCGAAAGAGTGATAATATAAGAGCCATCATATGTGTCTCTTGAGTTGATGGGAAGAAGTTGATGGAAAAAAGTTGGTGGATAATATAGAAGAAGAAGGATGTGAGGATAAAAGAAGAGATCGTAATAGAAACTAAAACTAGCTCTCGTTTTTTCCTTCTCCCAGGTGTGCAATGGACAGTTGTTGAGTCAACCTATCCCCCTCGTTTCACCCTGTCGTCGTGCCCCACGAATCTCGGCATGAGCGGAGCGTCGCACAGTCATCCGGATGGTGGGCATCAGCAGCAGGGCGGCGGAAATGGTGGCAGTGGTAATAGTACAAGTCAGCCGTCTGGGACGGCGTCCGGCGGTTCGGCCGGTGGGAGTGGTGAGAGCACCGGAGCGTCCTCCTCATCTGTTCACATGACACAGTATCAGGGCTCGGCGTATCCCACGCAAATCATCTCTGTGAACAACTATTCGCAGCCACTGAGCACGCCGACGTCGCCGCAGGGTGAATCGTCACTCGTGCAGAGTGTCTACAGTCAGGGCACGACGCCCAATCAGTCGCCCATCGACACCAAGCCACCTGTGCAGCAGCAGCCGCCGGCGCCCACGCCGGCGCCGCAGAAGAGGAAGCGCTCAGTGAATCCGCAAGGTGATGAGAACTTCATTCGCGCGCTGGAAGCGGTGAGATATGGTGGCATTGGATTCTGCAAGGCGGCGAGATTGTTCGGTGTGAACAATCGCACGCTGTGGCTGGAGTACAAGAAGCGTGGCTATCCAATCAGTCGGCCCAGTATCAAGAGTCGCATCAAGTTGGAGCCAAATGTGTCACCACAGCCGCCGGCGACGCCGACAAATGAGGAGAATACGATGGAGAACTATGAACATATCGCCCAGCCGAGCATCAATATGCCCATCTCGAGCAGCACCACGGCGGCCACACCGGAAACACCCACATCGGCGCCCATCATGTGTCCGCCACACGCGCATCCGATGGGTGTGATGAGTTTCCTTGACACGCGCCATGTGGAGTTCCCGTCTGTCCACCCAATGGCCAGACAAAGGTACCCAGACACGCCCGTGAATGTGAATCCGTCGGCCATGAATCTGCAAGGGCTGAACTTCAACACGATGTAATTTGGGGAATGTTGGCGAATTGTTCAATTTCTCCAGCCATACTAAATTATACATATTGATAAATATATATATTGTAATGTAATGGATTGTAGAGAGAAGAGGAGGAGGAGGAGGAGGACATAGGCTAAATGGGAGGCAGAAAAGAGTAAAATTTCATTCATTGATCTATAGCAAGAGTTCTTCTGCACACAGATGAGGAGAATACCCCAAATGTAATAGGTTAAATATTTTATTGATAAACATTGACACACATTGATTATATAGTGTTGTGTAGGTAAAAAAGTGTAGGAATGTAAAAGCCACAGTGTATAATGATCATGTAAAAGGGATACTCTCTCTCTCTCTCTGTCTGTCTGTGTTTCGGGGACTATTTGAGATTTGAGAAGGAAATCTCCTTGTCTGCTTGGTCAATTATATTCATAAAAAAAGGGGGAGAAGCAGAGAATGTTGAGACAATTTTGGGCACACATTCATTCATTCATTCAGTGATGAGAAAGAATTAGTCAATGGCCTTAGAGTGACTCTTTTTTATGGCTGATAAGAAGAATTTTTACACTGAGAAGCTTCAAAGAAGATTCAATAATGAAAAAAAAACATTTATTGTGCAATTGTAGCGCAAATTCTACTACTTACATCACAATTTAAAGCATTATTCTTCACAATACACCAATAATAAAATCGTGTTACACGATTGTGTGTCTCAACAGTGATGTCCGAATGTGTGTCCACAGTTGTTGTTCTTGCTCTGTTACGTCAAAACCAGTAAGAAAATGATGTGAAAGAGAAGAAAAGATGATGAGGCGGGAGGTTAAGCTCCAAATCACAGTGAAGTTGTGCTGGAAATTGCTTATTTCTTGCTTCAATTTTAATACTATAATTTATTTAATGACTGTTTTATGGAAAGACCTGAATTTTTTTTTACATGTAAAAATGTGGACAAATTTTTTATGTCTCTTGCAAGAATATATTATATTTCAGGCATGAAGAAGAAAATGAAGATAAAAGTTGGGTGGAAGAAAGAGTATAAAGAAAATTATCTCTCATAAGTTTGTAATGTTGTATAAAAAACAATTTTTTAATCGATATTATTTCCTTAAAAGAATGTTCTTTTTTTTAAATCTATTAACACTATTGAGATTAACTGACGGAAAGTAGTGGAAAGGAGAAGGAGAAGGAGAAGAAGTGTGTTATGAATGGAGAGAGTACTCATTCCTCAATTGTATAAGTGTACTGTTTTTATTTCATGTATCGTGTAAAGAGTAATAATAATAATATCAAAGATGAAGAAGAAGTGCGAGGTGAAATATTTGTTTAGTCATTAGTTGGAAAAAATTTATTATTATAACTTTTTACGTGTAATTTCTTAAATAAATTTACTAACAACATATTTTTTTATATGTGTGAGTGAAAATTGTATTGATGGTGAGGAGGAAAATACAAGTTTTAGATAAGTGAAAAAACAACAACAACACTATTTATGCACTAAATATTTAGATAAAGTCTATTATATAATGAATAATGTATATTTAAAATGAGACGAGAAAACAAATAGGCTTAGCGACAAGAGTTATAAATAAAGGAAAAAGAAGAGAAAAAAAGCTACCTTAAAGGAAGAACAAGAAAAAAAAACACTTTGTATGGATAGAATATATATATTTCTCAGTGTGAATTTTGCAAAAAGAAAAAAAAGGAGGGAGAAAGGCACGTTTTATTATTGTTCTTTTCAAATCATTATTATTATTACTATTTTTAATCAGCTTCACTGTGGCCATAGATAAAAAAGAAGTCTTCATTTGCATTCACATGTTTTTTTCTGTCTTCTCTTTGTTGTTTGGAAATCAATTGGGCGATTGCAGAACGAATTTTTCACAGGAAGAGAGCAAAGCGTAGTTTGGTTTAGGGTAATTTATATACAATGCTAAGCAGGAGGATAAATATACATAGTTTGTCGCGAGATAATGTATAATAAAAAAAAAATCCACCTTCTGAGGGCGAGACGCGAGAGTGTGTTGAGAGAAGAAGAAGCGCCACAAGGAGGAGAGAAGCAGTGTGTGTAAATAGAACTGTGTCTAGACTCTTGAGTGAGAAGATGGCAAGAAGAAGAAGTGGCCGAGAGTGAAGGTGGTATATAAATAGGGCATTCATGTTTCTTTCGACATAAGAAGGAGCGAAGTGGAGTAAATAAAATGCAAGCTATAGTTGCAGATTTAAGAGAATTACTACATTTTAGGGCATAAGAGTCGCTGAGGAGAGAACAATAATGTATAAATATGATGAGGATACGGAGAAGGACGAAGGAAAAGTCCTATTTCGCGAGGGTATAAAGATGATGAAAAAAAAACGACGAACAAGAAGAACATTGAGTAGAATTATGTAATCAAGTTTTAATTACATATTAAAATATCACAATTGAAAAAACAGTCAGTTTATTTTACCCTCGATGAGAGTCGCTCTTTAGGAAGGACACTTAATGACTCTCGCCACTACTTTGCAGGTCTCTCAGCGAAGAGCCTCGTGACAACGACGATGGGAAGCAAGCGAGGACGATTGCTGATCCGGCAGCCGCGCATTAAGAAGGAGAGCGACGCCACGTCGTCCACACACGCCAGTCCAGAGCCTGACATTGCTTCCGATCTGACCTATGCGCATCTTCTTCGTGTGCCACCGCAGAAGATTGAGCGCCATGCGTCCGAGCCCACGCCGGCGGGATCGCCGCATCTGCTCTCTGTGCCGACTGTCGGTTCGGCGGCGGGTGCGTATCTGGTGAAGCAGCACAGCCATCCGCTGCTGCCCAGTCAGTCGTCGTCGCCCGGGCCGTTTCCGCTGCAGCGCCAACTGTCGCATCCTGCCAGCACCGCCATGACCACCCTCACGCCCTCGCCGCCCATTGTGGAGCCCACGAGTGCGCCGCCCGTCACGCTGTCCAGCCACCTCACGCACTTCATCGCCACGACGCTCAAGGGCGCAGCCGAGGAGCTGTCCGATCCCACGCCATCCACCAGCCGCGTGCGCACGCTGTCGCCCACGGTGCTGATCGTGCCGGACGCCACCCCGGAGCCGCTGGGCGCCATCCGGGTGAAGACGGAGGAGCTGCAGCGATCGGCTTCGTCACCACAAGTAATGCCAAAATCTATATGTATTTGTCAGTCGAATTGGTATCCCTGGAGAGTTTGTGGCGGAAATGCCACTGTCATGGCGGCCTTCTCCTTCTCACGAGATTCTCGCTGTTAGCATTATTTGACGCAGTGTCTCAGATACTGTGGTTATCACTTATATGCAGACGATTTGCAGATCTATTGCTTCGGGAACTCTCACGCTCCTGAGTTTGCTTTTGAGGCAATGAATGATGATCTTCGTCGGGTCACTCGCAGGTCCTAATCATTCACACTCATTCATCTCTTGGATAAAGTCATTCCCTTCTCTGGTCGAGTCAAGAACTTGGATGTCATTTTCAACAGCACCTTGCCTTGATCAGATCATGCCTTTGAGATCTTGCAGAAGGATCTTTCTCACTGGCACTAGACTTCTGTTCCCTTTTCACCTATTGAGTGGAGCTCTTCTTCTGTGCTAGCATGGTTGAGAAAAGCATTCAATTCCTGTCTAAGATACGTACAGGATTTGTACAGGACGGCTTGCCTATCTCGTAGAGCTTTTGGTTCCCGGATCGTTTGTCAGATCTGCCTCTCTCCATGTGTCGAGATCAAAGAGGCGCATTCTCCACGATTCCCTCTTTGTTGAAGGATTTGTGATAAGAGAGGACAATTTGTCCTACTAACGAGATTAAATTATACTTAAATCTTCACAACCATTCACTGTGTATTTGTGTGTGTTTCAGGTCAAGACTCGCGACTTCTCGCTGGACAATCCGCGCTCCAGTCACTGTCCTGTGGTGCGTCCTGGACCTGCGCTGGGCTGCAACTTCTGCTGGAACACCATCGACGCTCATGGACGCATCTTGCGGCGCAAGACCAAGTACCACTGCCCCGAATGTCAGACGAATCTGTGCATCGTGCCCTGCTTCCAGGAGTACCACGAGCGTCAGGCTTCGGGCGCCGACGAGAGCGCGGGGAATTCTAGCAAAAGCACCCAGACGTCCGTGGCGACGCTGCGACACTTCCCAAAGACCGGCTCAATATAGAGAGTGTGTTGATGGTGTAAGAAGTTCTTTTAGATATTGTGTCAATTTTGGATGTTTCTTTGTCCTCTGATCCTCTTTTCCACACACACACACAAACACACGCGCAATGCAAGAAGCACGCAAAACCAAAAAGAAACATGCTATGAGAACAGCAAAAGAGTCATTTCATCGTGTCCGGAGGAGGGTGAGTGCAAAAAGGATACTTTCTGCAATTTTAAATGTTGAGCAAAAAAGCATGTGAGGAAAAAAATATATCATTCATTGTGAAGTGTAGGCAAAAAAAAAACGTAGAGCGTAAATAATAGGTGTTAATTGTAATTTGAGAAAAGAGAGAAGAGGAGAGATGACAGTGAAATCTCTCTTATATTTTCTTAAATGTGTAATTATACTAAAAACAAAACCTTTAAGCTGAAGAAAACGATGTTGTGTAGTGAGACAAACAAGATAAAAAAAAACTTCTATTCTGATACTAAACGATGAGTTGATTAAGGAAAGAGAGAGAAAACATTGATGACATTTTCGAGGTTTAGAGAAAAAGAGAGAGAAAAAGGAAGAATTACAGATATAAATTTGTAAAATGTATTTATAATCATATTTCATCCCGTTCATTTGCCAATTTATTCCTTCCGACGCCCCCAGAGAAAAAACAACCCTTTTATCCTCAAATTGCATTTCTTCACTTGAAATTCTTAATCTTGAAAGCTTTCTCCCGAATTTTTCCACACACGCAAAACAAAAAGATGGCAAGAAATATGACGAGAGCGAAGCACACGCAAGGCAGACTTTTTCGTTTGTGTTTTTACTTAGAAGAGCAGAAGAAAAAGATGTACCTGATATAGATGATGATGATGATGATGATGACGAAGATAATGATAAAGAGAGATGTTTTATGCAGAAATACTTCAACTTTTATTCGCTAACCCTTGGCTTCTTTGCTCTGTTTTAAATATATACTTTTGCAGTCATCACAATTCGGCGGTAACTCACCTGTGGCGGATGAACTTGTGTCTGAAGGCGATCTTCTGCGCTCTGTCCTGAATCCGGCGATTGAGATATCTGGCAATTCCCACGCTGGGCGCATGGCAGCCGCGCACGCCGTTGGCCTCCTCGAAGCGCTGATACTCTGGCTTGCACTGGCACGAGGCGCGTCCGCCGGCGGTCTTGGAGGGTTCCAGCCACTCGCCAGGACCGCAGGGACCTCTGGAGTACAGCTTGTGGCACTGGCCGGCGATCTCCGCCATCCCTGGAGAGCCTCTGCACGCGCTGGCCTGCGGCTCACGCTCATTGCAGGTCTGCGCGAGTGTTGTGACGACGCCGGAACAGCCGCAGACGCCGTTGTACGACACGCCGTCCACGGAGGGACGCGATGTGAAGTCAAAGACTACGACAGAGTGCAGATGACACGGTCCCTGGGTGCCTATGCGATGGCAGGAGGCGTCGGTGGGGAAGAAGAGCTCTCCCTTGGTGCAGGGATTCGCCATGCAGCTGCCATTGGAGGCCAGGAGGAACTGGCCAGCCTCACAAGGTCCCCTCGTGAAGGCTCTGTAGCAGAGACCGTCTTCTGGCCAGAGAATGTAACCCTCGCGGCAGCGACACTGACCTCCAGCGCCGTCCTCCTCCACCTGGAACACATGCCCACCTGGACAAGGCCCGGCAGAGCCCAACTCGAAGCACTGACCAGTCTCGATGTGGAATTGCGGCAAATCTCGGCGACAGCCGCATTCGCCGCTGGGCAGGAAGAGATCTCCTTCGGGACAGGGTCCTCGGGTGTAGTGTTCATAGCACTGCTCGTCGGCGAGGTGGAAGAAGGGCGCCAAGTGGCCGGAATCCTCACAGCGACACTCTCCCAGACTATCACTTCCCTCAGTCAGCAGTCTTCCCTTCGGGCAAGGACCTCGCGTGAGTCTTCCGTAGCACTTGCCGTCGCTCGGCCAGAAGATCTCTCCCTTGCCACACTCCGCGGGCGTTCGACACACGCCCCAGCGTCCCTTTCCCGTCTTCCCCGGAGGATCTGGCCGGGGAGCGAAGTATTGGCCAACATCGCACGGCTCGCGGGTGAACAGGCGATGGCATCGCGCCGTCAGGGGACTCTGGGCAGTGCCTGGCGGGCAGCGACATTCAGCGCCCAGGCCGGAGGATGACGGGCTGAGTTCCATGGTGTCCGGACAGGGGAAGCCCAGCTGGAAGATGCGGAAGCACTGCTGCAGCGGAGGCCAGAAGAGCAACTGCCAACCGCCAGGACGAGCGGCACAGGGATTTCGGACCGGGTCTGCCCACGGAGGAGGCACAATTGCCGCTTCCGCGACGGTGAGAGTCCATGAGATCACAGTCAACAGCTCCACAAGGCGCCTCATCGTCCACGATTTGTCTGCGGAAAGGAAATTCCCCAAAATCAGCTTGAGTGTTTGATTTGCCCTTGAACTCAGGGGGATTTCTCAGGGGGGAAAAAATGACCGCCTAAATTGCGTGTGAAGTCATGCATACACATTGATTCATTGACAATATCATGGAAAAACATCCTCCGGAGCAGGTGAGACAGAGAGAGAGAAAGAGAGCGAAATCCCAGTGCAAGCGAGTCCGCGACACAGTTGATTGTTACGTGTTCGCGAGAGCCCAGATATTATGTATGAAATGACCCAAATCGCCTTCTCTTTCGCTCACACACACTTTACTTTTTTTCTTCTTCAACCCATCAGCAGCAGCTCGACCACCTGAAGATCTCTGCCTCTCGCTCCCACTCTCCGCGGGATTACGTGTCACCGCGACGCCTGAGGCCAGAGAGTCTTTGGCGTGAGTGTGATGCAACAGACTTAAATGAAATCAACGAAATCGAAAGTTTAGGAGCCACCGAAGAGCTCATCTAATTGCACTCATGAGCATCTGCCCGCGCGTCCCACTCCCTCCCGGGCAGGCCACGGAGGCCACGGTGGTGAGGAGAAGAGCGCTGTTCAGGTAGAAACACGACCAATACATTTGAAATTGCACCAAAACGGCAAAGGTCACATTTGTACGTGTTTTTGTGACTGTGGAAAACCATCAACTTTTTAGAAATCCCACTGCACGAGACGCGAGTGCTTCTTTAAGTGGAAGGAAGGAAGATTATTTGTCGAATGATTTTACTTGGCGGAAAGTGAGGCAAAATCACATGGAGAATATGTATTAACTTTCAGTAGCACATCTTGAGCTCTCTCTCTCTTGCTCTCGACCCTCGTTGAAATTCCTTCGCGTACACAATTCAGAGAGTGTGGCTTCGATGGGCAATTGACGAGTTCATCGTCTTGGATGTTTACCCAAAGCCAAACAGAGGAGAAGAAAGAAAAAAGAAGGAAAAAAAGCAGTTGAAAAACACCCACACAATAGTAGAAATTCTTCCCAACCTGATGGATTGTCATTGAAGATCGATCCAAGAGACTGGACACCTTTTTGCACAAGACACTATCGGATCATCGGCTGGCTGACGAGGCGCGTGATTCCACGACAAGAGATCGAGATCGACTGCCTGAGCGTCAGACGGAATTCCACATGTGGTTGGACGTCTTCGGAGACCAGAAGCTCAGCCAAGAAGCAAAATGGAAGGGGTTTTCGGCCTTCGGCTTCGTCACTCCAAAGTGTGCTCTTGAACACCCAGAGAATCACAGCCAAAATCTCTGTCAGAGTGTTTGTGAGGGTGTCTAATTTCACCTCAACTTCCAGCAAGGGGGAGATAATGTGTCTTCAATCTGTACACCACTTCTGAACACCGTAAAAATTTGAAACTTGGATGATGTTTTCAGATTTATAAATTTCCACCCGATATTTCTCTAAGAATCGCCTTAAAAACTCTTTCTGAGTGTCTTTTCCGACCATAACCTTAAAAAATCTGCTGAAAATCCTTTTGAAAGCTTTCCAGATCACAGAATCATATCTTATAATTTGTTAATAAACTCAAAATTGCTAATTCAGAGTCAAAATCGTGCAGAATGTTAACAAAATCAACATTTTTCAAGTCTAGCTTATTCTTTTTGAGGTTATGTTGCATTTTAACGCTAATTTATAGTGTTTCTTGGCACAAAAAGCCCAGAATTGCCTTATTAAATGCGAAATATTCACTAAATTTGTCCCTGATGCGTTACATAACCTATAAAAATGATTATTATGACTGTTTCTATGTAAAAACTAAAGGAAATCCAAAGAAACTGGTCAATTTCTCAATAAAAGAAGCACTCTGAAAAGAAATATTGTTGATTTTTGAACACTTCCACTTCTTAAGCACTCCTGCTGAGTTGTACACCACTTCAGACTGTATCATCTCCCCCTTGACTTCCAGGGTTCTTGAGAATAATTCCTTCACTCGAGCTGTTTCTGAGGCAATTTTTTTCCATGACTGAGAAAATTCTCAAATGCTCATAATAATTAATTGATTCACTCTTTAAATGTTGTATTTCCCATAATCGATGTCCCGCTATTCAAATCTTCGATGTTATCAGTAACAATTAGTGTTATTTCACACGCATAATTTGGTGAAATTAACATGAATTCGACAGTTTGCAAAAAGTGGATGCAAATTTGGCGGGAGATTTTCCACACACAATTTGCTAATGATTTTTTAAATGATACAATAATAATTATCTTCTTAAAATTGCTATTCAAATAGGAATATTAAGATTCAAATTCTAACTATACGATAATTTCTGTCTAAGGTAAACTTCTTGAGCATAACACAATTGTGTTACGTATAAATGCTCACAATTCACTACTCGAAGAGCGATTTTTTGCGCGATTACAGTACAGTATATATAGTTATACTCGTAATGTGATCAACTCGATTTAAAGTTAAGCAATTTTTGTAAGACCTGGGCTATTAGGCACCCCCCCACCCCCCCCAGGTCCTAATTAAAACACAAAAACCCAAAACTTGGCCTTCAATTGAATGCAATTGTTGAGGCTTCACTTGTGAATTTCAAGCTCAATCTTCCTTCTCGTCCTGATGATTGAAATGAAAAGTCTTCCTGCAAATTGTGGTCACGAGGAAGGATTGAGAAGATTCATTAAAAGCTCCAAATAGAGAGTCTTGATGTGCTTTTATTCACGTAACTTTTTTGGGCGAAAGTTTAGGTGAATATGATGAAAACTGAGAAGCATTTTTGGCAGAGGAAAAGATTGTCAATCCTGTAAGAGAAGAATAGGATGAAAACCATGAAATTAATAAAATTCTTGGGATTCTGGTCATCTTTTTGTGCTCTGATGTCCGGACATCGAAATATCTAAAAAACACTATCAAGAATATCCACAGATAATTCAATGAAATTCCGTAGACAAATCTTTCATTTTCAACAGTTTTATTAAGAAAATCACGCTATTTAAATGCACAAGAGAGATTGTGGGAGTGCTTTTAGAAAAATTTATTTAAATACATTTTAATTGCGTTTTAAAAACTCTTTTAAAGCTTTAAAAAAATTTAGGAGTCTTTGAATTTTCCTTCAATCGTGGTTCGAAATTCCAATTAATTCTTTTAATGCAATTTTTTCAATAAAACCACTAATTATAAATCAAAAAATTATTTTATTTCATTCTTTCGTAGAAATTTGTTAGAAGTTTCCTGCGAAATTCTGATCTCTGAAATCCACTAATGAAGTGATTTTCAACAGGGTTTCAACCTTTCTGTTTAAAATAACATTTTTTCATGCATATCAGTAGCATTTCATGTCATCTTTCCATCGGTCATCGAAATTATAGCTCAACTTTGAGATATAAATTGATCGTTATCTCCAACATTTTAGTGGCAAATTGAGCGAATAAACGGAAGCAATTTGCTCATTTTTTATAATATAAAATTGCCTATAAAATCCCACAATTTCTGTGAAACTGTTCAGTTCATTGAATTTAACACCCTGAAAGTGTAGGAAAAATGTGGAAAATCTTTCTCTTAACTCTCTCCGTGGCGATTCTGAGTGAAGCTGATGAGGTAAAATACTGATTGCAGACTAATCTTGCAGTCTTCTTTAATATTTTATTGCATATTCGACAGGAGAAGAAGTTTAAGATAACTCTGGAGAAGGTTGAAATCGAGACTGATCCGAGTTTTGCCACAGTCAAAGCCGAGATTCGCACGGAGGATGGAAAGACTGTGGTGGATGCTTCCGGGAATATCCTGCAGGAGATGGATTCGGGCGTATTTGTGGACATTTCCGCGTCAACTGAAAGTGATCCTGGTCAGTTTAAGCCACTCCTCAAGGCGACAGACATTGACTTCTGCAAGTACGACGAGAGCAACACGATGGCTCCGCTGCTCTCCATGTTCATCAAGGATATTGAGAAGTTTGGCAATCTCCCGCTGAAGTGTCCGGTGAAGAAGGGTGAATTTCACATCAAGGGCTTCAACATTGCCGAAGAGAATCTGCCCTCGTACATTCCGGAGGCGCGATACTTGATTGAATCCCAAATTCACGTGAAAAAGGATGGAAATCGTCACGTGATTTACAACAGCAAGTGGATCGCTTTGATTGCGAAGGAGTAAATCCTTAATGATGAGAAATACATGTTTTTGCTCCCAAGCTTATAAGTTTGAGTATCTTTTCGTTTATTGTGAGGTGGTGAAAAAGGCGGGAATTCGCTGCGGTTACAAAATATCATTACAGGTAAGCATTACATGACAGCACTTGTGGAAGCTGTCAAAAATTGGAAGAAAGTGTTTGAGGAACGCGGACGCGAAAATGGAAAATCCAGATTATCAGTCGGATATCCAGTTGGATTACACGATTGTCAAGGAGGAATACTCAATGCTGGACATAACGGACAATCCGGAGGATGAATTCCCGGCTCAGACGTAAAATTCCCTGCATTTCCTCAAGAGAAACTCTTCAGCTCACTGGAGATTATCTTTCCAGAGATTCGGGATTAGACAATGGAGAGCAGATGATCCAATTCGAGATTACGGAGATTGACCAGGTCAAGGAACCGCTGGAGCTGAAGGAACCTGACCAACTGATGTGTCTTGTCTGTGAGGCGACATTTGAGCATCTTCCTGCCCTGCAGAAGCACATGCTGAAGCACACCAACACCACACTGCCTTACAACACAGCGTCATCGGCTCAGGCCAGTCGATTCCCTGCGCCAGCAATCTCTCCTGGGCACAGCCTGAACAAGACATCGGAAGTGGATGAGTCTGACGATCACAGTGAAGTTGCGAGGAAAGTGCAGGAGTTGATGGACTCCCGGAAGAACAAATTGCAGTGTCCGGTGTGCAAGAAGAGGTTCAAGCAGGAGAGAAATGTGGTGAACCACGTGACCGTTCACATCAGTTTGAAGCCCTTCGCGTGCCAGGAGTGCGGAAAGACCTTCCGCCGGAAAGACTACTTGAAGTCCCACATCGATTACGTGCACAAATCGTCACTTATGCGCTGTCCCAAGTGCGAAGTGACCCTTAAGAACATGGGCGTCTACAAGAAGCACATACTTCACTGCAGAGCTAGCAAAACGAGAAAAACGAGCAAAACCAATCTCGTCAAGTGCAAAATTTGCAAAAAGACCTACAAGAATACGAAAAATCTAGACAAGCACATTGCAATTGATCACATTTACCACGAGGAGTCGGATGAGCCAGTGGAGCCTGAAGTTTGGTTTGAGTTCGAGAAGAAAACCATCAAGAAGGAGAAGACCCAGCCAAAGTTAAAGTACCGAAGATAAAGTAATCTTTTGTTGGTCAGAATATTAAGAATTTTCTTCCAGTTTCAGCCAACTCACGAACCGTGAAAAGACGAAAGTCCTCAACGAACGGCGCTTCAAGTGTTCCACGTGCTTTCTCAAGTTCAAGCGAAAGGATCACTTGCGAACGCACATGGAAACTCACGATGATATTCGGTCAATCATATCCTGTAAGGCTTGCGGCCAAACATATTTGCACAAAAGGTCCCTGCAACATCACTTGAGGGGCTCCAAATGCGGACGAACACATAATCACAGACCTTCTTTCTCCTGTGATCTCTGTTCTGTGAGCTTTCGCACAAAGCTCATGTTGGCGCGGCATTATAAAATTTGCCTCGAAAATAAGTCCCGCGCGAATCCTAATGGGAAGATTTCGATTAAATCTGAAGTTGCTTAAAGATTAAGTCAATAAATGATGTATTTTGTAGGAAAAAGGATTCACGATGGTTTCTTTTATGATCAATTATCGCAATTTCAATATTTGCTTGGCCCAAGGGGGAGATAATGCAGCTGAACGGTGTACACAACTTCTGAACTTTTGGCAGTGATTAAAATATGCGTTTTTTCAACCGCCTAAAGTATCATAACCTCAAATTTAGAAGTGTTTCACCTGAAAAGACGAAATACTTGTATGACCTTAAAAATTTACGGAAAAGCAGTATTTTAGAAGAATTTGAAGTTTCCAGTGGATATTTTCATGTTATATAATTTTCAATCGCTCTTTTGAATGCACTTTGGATCATAACCTAAAAATTATCTCGTGAAATCTAGAAAAATGCTTGAAAGAAACTTATTCAGAATCTTTTAAATGCAAATTTGTGGAATATTGTTTCCCAGATCAATGAAAAATCAATGAAACCTCTCTTAAAATAGACAATTTTGTATCCTGAAACAATGTTTTAGAGGTTATGATCAATCTTAACACAGTTTAACATTGAAAACTTGTGATCTTCATCAGATTTCATTAATATTTCGTTAGTGAATACTGAATTTACCATCTTTGGCGCAAGAAAGAATGATTTTTTAGGTTATTTAGTGGCAAAGTTTGTCTTAAACGTCTTAAAAACATTTCATAACCTTGAAAAAAGAGAAAAAGCGTAGAGAACAATTCTTTACCTTCAAATATTGCGTTTATTTCCTTTTGAAAGGCACTTTTAAACAAACGATTTTGAAAATATTCAAGCATTTTCACTTCCAAATACTTCTACTGAGCTGTACACCACTTCTTACCATAACATGTTCCCCTTGGCTTGGCTAAGTGCCGAAAGCTTTCAATTCTGGCTGAAAGCAACCCAAGAATTCAACGTCTTATTGATGGCATTCAGTAACTGTGTCAGGAACATTTGCAGACTGAGTGAGTCCCCGAGATGATATCTCGACGAACAGAAGTGAGTTGCTGGGCTGCAATTCTGCCTTCCTATCTGTGGATGCGGGCTTTACAGAGGCATTAACTTTAGTCTTTGATTGCGATGAATCCTTGACTTTTCTCTCTCTCTACAATTTTTCTACACTGAATGGGAACAATTCACGTGAATGATTCATGTGATTAAGGGAATATTGAACCGAATTTCATCGAATTTCAGTGACCTATTAATAAACAAATTTCTCCGGAATGATAAGTTAATTAAACAATGCAATATAGTTGGATGATATAAAAAGACAAAGCTCTAATGCTGCGCACTATCTGATAACCACGATATAATTGATAAAAGTCAATAAAGTGAAGAAACAACGACCTTTCGGCAATTCTAAAGAAGAACAATTGGAGATCCTTCACAGATCAACAAGCGGGAATTATATGATGTCTTGATGATCTCTCTGAAGATCAGTGCAATCATTAAGAGAAGAAGAAAAAACCTCGACTGTGCCTAATCTGTCCCGAAGCCATTAACACGTTTGTGCTGTAAACTCTGGAAATACGATCGTAAATGCATTATAAACTTCCAGTTAACAACAGTTTATCAATGAACTTGGCGTGGGTTTTACTCAACTGATCTAAATTGTTTTATTTCTACGTCTGTGGTTGGGAATTTAATGTCTCTTCATCGTTGAAATCAATCAAATTGCAAAGGAGAACTAAAGAAACTTGAGATGTTTGTCAGAAAATCGCACGTGTTTCCAGGAAAAATTCCCTTTCGTTGCTCTGCATTTATTCGGCACACACGGAGAATTCATAGAATTTTAGCCAAAGTCGCAGTTTGTCTCTGATAATCCCTTCCACTGTCGTCGTTATTTTATAAGAGGACCACGCGCTTCCAACTGCTTCAGTCCGTGTTGTGCTTTCCAGCAGAGATCATCAGCGCCAGTCACGCGACTTTTTTTTACCTGTCCCGACGATTAACATTCCACCAAATTGCTGCCTTGACTACAAATTTTGCAAGACATGTTTTTTTAATGATCGCAGAAAATGCCAAAAGTGATGTGACGCAATCTTCAATATAAATTAGTGCGCTAGTGAGAGAGCTTTCAGTGAATTTGGACAAAGGGAAGAGAGAGTGAAGGAGAACAATGACCAAGAACTACGATGTGTCGCTCCAGAAGCCGATGAAGAGTTCTCCGGACAGGTGATTTTGCTATAGAAGTTGATAGAAATTGCACGCGATTTTGCGTCAATGCGGATTCCACGGTCATCTTGTCTCTCTCTTAAGTATAATTGTGGCAATGCCATATGGCGTACATGACGCTTTCCCAGCTTTTCCACATGATTCGTGGTAAAATTCAATTTGCATTATCACAAATTGCCAGATAATCAACAAGGCGGAAAACTGAGGGGAGATTGAATTATGTGCGCGGGAGATCAATTGAGAGCGTGTGGCTAAATAAAACATCCCATTGATGGAATCTTGGCCTTCGCGAGTGCATCATATTATATATTTTTTCCAACTCCATTTCCAATGATAATCATTCACTCAAAAGCGTGCTTTGGTGTGTTCAACGGCCAAGTGAATTGATTATTGAAAAAGACACGGAACGGCCAATTTTCCTTAATAACTCAATTGTATTTTCCGCACGGCGTCTCGAAAGGCGTTGTCCTTTTATTTGTCTCCTTCTTCTTCTTCAGGCATGGAGAAATTATGGGGGTGAAGGAGGAAAATTGGTCACTCTTTATTCGAGACACAAAAGCATCCGAAGAGGATCACTTAGCGTCGCGTTAATTGGCAAAATTGGGACGATCGCGAGGCGAAAGCACAGATAATCAATTTGTCAACTTCAATCTTGAAATTGTGACCTCAAGACATTCTATAATAATGTTCGACACGTTTGAGGCCGCTCAGGTGTCCAAAAAAGTCATTGAGTGGGAATATTTATTATATAATTACCGATCTATGTAAGCAAGTCGTGCAATTAGATATGAATATGATATAAAATTTTAATTATTGCCATAAAGAACTGAAGAATTTCCAGTGATAAGATTGTCATATTATCTTTTTCTGCACGTCAAAAAAAGCTCATTCATTGATATAGAAATCAATTTATTGGTTCATTATCGCAGTAAATTATTAGCTTCAGATTGTGCAGACAATTATAACTTTCTCGATAATCTTTATAAGGTAAGAGATTGGGAATACCACGAACCTTGCCATTGAACTTGTGTCCAGATACACGAGCCAGCTGGAAATTCTTAGAAGTTGTAATTCAAACTGATTACCCCGGGATAATCTTAATCTTAAATGCGGTTATCACAAGTTCAATAATCGCACGTGATAGAAACGGTGCAAACGAACTTTCAAATCAAAATCGACCTCTTCTAGCGATGATGCCAAGACGCTGGAGGATGGCTTGACGTGGAAGTTCTGGCAGAAGAGGCGCTACATTGTCGTGATGATGGCCTTCTTCGGATTCTTCAACGTCTACGCATTGAGAGTGAATCTCAGCGTGGCTATTGTGGCCATGACGGAGAAAGTCAAAGTGACTCTTGAGAATGGCACAGTTGTGGAGCATCAGGAGTTTGAGTGGGACTCAACTCAGCAAGGACTGGTGCTGAGTTCCTTCTTCTACGGCTACATCTGGACGCAATTTCTGGGCGGCGTTCTGGCGTCCAAAATCGGTGGTCATTACGTGAGTCCTGATCCTCGATCTTCTCTGATCTTCTCTGAATCAGTGTTTAATGACGGGTTTTTGCGTAGGTTTTTGGGGCTGGCATTGGCATGACCGCCATCCTGACCCTGCTCACGCCCGTCGCGGCCACCCACAGTGTCTGGATGCTGATGGCGGTGAGGATAATCGAGGGTGTGTTCGAGGGCGTCACTTTTCCCTGCATTCACGCCGTTTGGGCGCGCTGGGCGCCAGTCTATGAGCGCTCCAGAATGGCCACAATCGCCTATGCGGGAAACTATGCTGGAACCGTGGTCGCCATGCCCTTGTCCGGCGTCCTGGCGGGCAGATTCGGCTGGCAGAGTGTCTTCTACGTCTTCGGCGGCATCGGATGTGTGTGGCTTGTGGCGTGGTTCCTCATCGTCAGAGCCGGGCCAGAGTGTGATCCCTTCATCAGTGATCAGGAGCGTGAGTACATCGAGCGCAGCATTGGAGATCCCAATGAGAAGAGGAACATCAAGCATCCCTGGAAGGCCATCTTCACCTCGGCCGCCGTCTGGGCCATCGTGGCGTCAAACTTCGCGGAGAATTGGGGATTCTACACACTTCTCACGCAGCTTCCGACATTCCTCAAGGGTAAGCACGTGTTGCGGAGATTCTTTTTCCCCTCTCACGGAAAGTCCCAATTAAACAATGATGCAAATCACGTTGAACTGGACAAGTTGTTTTCTCACAAACAAGAAAAAAACAACCATTAATCTTCTTGCGGCCGAAATATCGCGCTCAATGCATGCTAACAAGTTTAATTTGCATAACAATCAATCTTTCATTTTTGTTCTTCAAATATTTTCACTATAAAGTCTGGTATTTTTGATATTTTTAGAAGTGTGCAAACAATGTTAATTGCTCAAGAACATTTTACGCCTCTTCCAGACACTCTTGGCTTTGAACTGGGCAAAACTGGTTTCATCTCGGCTATTCCCTACCTCGTCATGGGCAGTCTTTTGGGCATTTCCGGCTACCTGGCGGACTGGAGTCAGGTCAAGGGCTATCTGACCACATCTCAGGTCAGGAAGTACTTCAACTGCGGCGCCTTCCTCGGCCAGACGGTCTTCATGATGCTGGCGGCTTATCTGCTGGATCCCACGGGAACTGTGGCCAGTATCACAGTGGCTGTGGGACTGGGAGCCTTCGCCTGGTCAGGATTTATGTGAGTCGAGCAGCATCTGTCGCCCAAACCGATCTTTTAACCACATTTCTCAATTCTTCTTCTCAGAGTAAATCCTCTTGATCTGGCTCCCAATCATGCCTCAGTCATTCTGGGCTTTTCCAACATGATCGGCACAATTCCTGGCATTGTCAGTCCACTCCTGACCGGCGTGATCACCAAGGACAGAACCAAGGAGCAGTGGCAGATTGTCTTCTACATCACATCCGGAATCTACTGCGTTGGATGCGTCATTTACTGGTTCTGGTCGTCAGGAGAGCTCCAGCCTTGGGCCACGGCCGGCGAGAAATCCCTGGAGCAGCTCGAGAGTCCCAAGAAATCCACCACCGAGAAGAATGGCATCAAGAACGAGGCCATGGAGATGGACGAGTAGCGCAAAGCTCTGCTTTTTCTATCCACTTTTAGTGATATTAAGTTGCAATAATTTATTCAAAAAACCAATTCCACCAGTGCGAATGTAGTGAATTATGTCTATTAAATGTAAAACTGGTAAAAATGAGCTGAAGCTTTTACCCATGAAGTTGACCCACACGAATAGAACCCTGAGTTTCTCTCAACTTGGCTTATTTTGACGAGAAAATCTGAAAATCACTCAATATATTTATTAATTATCATCATTAATTATAATATTGTTAATATATGTCTAGTTCAACGGTTATTTCTACACTTTTACCCACATTTTATTGTTTATTATTATCATTTCCATTATTCTCTTCAGCGTGCTTTTGAATTTACTTCCTCACGCCCACAAAAATCGTTCATTGTTCTTGTCGATCCGGGGAAAAAAGTAGTTTTTTTGTGTGTCAAAATCACTCGTGATGCAATTTTCATTGACATTGAAGCGTTCTGACGGTCGTCTCGCTACTCATTTGCTATAATATCACTCGTGCCGCCTTGCAATAGTACAAAACGAGTTTTGATAAAAGTGTGAAATTCTTTGAAACAATTTTCATTTTCCGACTAGCAATGATTTAATCGTGTGAGGAGCTCATTAAGCACGAAATGTTTGCAGAAAAGAGTCAGATAATAAAACGATAATTTGTAATCTGTGCTATTTTATTTTCCACTTGAAATATATTTAATTTCCTGAGCTTTATCGGCTTTATCGAGAAAAAAAGCGCGCTTATCCAGGAAATTTGCCGCCTGATCGGCAGCGCTCAGGTGGCGAACACTGGAATTCAGCAAACAGTAAACAGAAGGAGTGATTTTCGTGCTGCCGGAAAATATGCCGATAAATCTGAATATTGGAATATTAGGACATGTGGATTCTGGGAAAACGACTCTGGCCAAAGCCCTGAGTGCCATAGCCAGCACGGGGGCGTTTGACAAGAGTCCACAATCCCAGGAAAGAGGTGAGTTCAGCACATGGCAATCCGCGAAGCCTCACTGACAGTCTGTGTTTTTCCAGGAATCACGCTGGATTTGGGCTTCAGTGCTCTCCAAGTTGATCTACCGAGTCACTTGGAGTCTCCCAATGTAGACGACAAGCTTCAGTACACCTTCGTCGACTGTCCTGGTCATGCAAGCCTCATCCGGACGATCATCAGTGGAGCTCAGATAATAGACTTCATGATTCTGGTGCTGGACGCAGTGAAAGGGATTCAGACGCAAACGGCGGAGTGCATCGTGATCGGCCAGCTGACGTGCAAGAAGATGTTGGTGGTGCTGAACAAAATAGACTTGCTGGAGGACAAGAAACATCAGGTGATTGAGAAGATGACGAAGAGGATGAAAATCACTCTCGAAAGTCTCAATATTCTGGGATCTCCTGTGGTTCCCGTCTCAGCCACAACTGGAGAGAATCTTCAGCTTCTCCTGGACACCATAAAGTCATTCTCCTTCATTCCAAGTCGGCGAACGGACAAGCCTTTCCTCTTTGCCGTTGATCACTGCTTCAGTATTCGTGGCCAAGGGACGATTTGCACGGGAACTGTGCTTCAGGGCAGCGTCCGAGTGAGTGATGAAGTGGAAGTGGCTCAGTTGAAGCTCTCCCGGAAGGTGAAGTCCATCCAGATGTTCAAGGAACCGCTGCAAGAGGCCAAGCAAGGAGATCGCATAGGAATCAGCATTACTCAATTCGATTCCAAAGCACTGGAAAGAGGATTCATCTGCAAGTCCGGCAGCATTATTCAGTGTCGCTGTGGCATCATTAAGCTCTCCCGGATCTCATTCTACCGCTCAGGAATCGCCTCTAGCCAGAAATTCCACATCACTGCTGGCCACGAAACAGTTCTAGCCAGTGTTGTTCTGTTTTCCGGGAAGATTTCAAGCTTCTCTTTTGATCATGAGTACAAATTCCTCGAGGAAATGCCTGTCGAAGATGCACAATCTCTTCCCGAGAACGTCTTCGTGTTGCTTCAGTTCGAAAGACCGATTCCTGTCATCCCAGAGATGCTTGTGATCGCTTCGAAACTAGATCTCGATGTTGCAACAACTTCCTGTCGTCTTGCCTTCTTTGGGAATCTCCTGGAAGTGACAGAAGACAAGGATTTCACCACAAACTTCCTCCCCAGACTGAAAATCTTCAAGGAAAAGACGAAGAGAGGCACAATCCAGAGACTGATCAATGATTCCGAAGCCATTGCGGCGAATCTACTGAAGCCTGGAAGTCGCGAAGTCTTCCTGGGCATGGAAATCCAATTGGCCACTGGAGAAGTGGGAACAATTGAGAGCACTTTCGGCCAGACGTCAAAAGTGAAGTTGCGCTTCAAAGCACCGCTGAAAAGCAGCACAATTGAGAGCATAAAGAGCAAATCCGGACCAATTGCTGTTGAGTTGCGCTTCAAGAAGTTCATCTACGATCGCCAGCGGCGAATTCTTCAGTGAGGGTAAGTCAATTTTGTATTTCCTATCATCATCATCTACAATAAATACTCATAATGCTGGGTTTTTGTATGTACAATAGGTTTTAAAAGTAAATGACTAGGTTAAATCGGTCCCCGTAAAATCTTGGATTTTCTTCTGGAATAACTTCACTCTTTCTTTCACTATGCAAAAAATGATTTGAGAAACGTTGATCAGGAAGAATTATTTCGTTTTTGAGTTCATCCACTCTGTTATTATTCCTTTTTTTGTTAAATACAATAAAAAAATGATTTTTTTTCCATTTCTCTACTTTTGAATACAATATTTTCCATGCTAATCTTCGTGCGCCACCCCGTAAATTTAACCCCCGAGGGACACATTTTTAAACTGTCTCTCTCTTTCTTTTACATAAAATAATTGGATTACGTTTTTATGATGGCCTTAAGGTCTATCAAACTCCTCTTCTTTTGCGATCATTCTCCGTGATTCTGCACACGCAAAATGCGTGTCAGACTTCCTCTTCCGCTCTAAAGTACACGATAAGTTGTCTTTTTCAATTTACATGCGCCTCAACTGGAAGAATAGAGAGTTAATTGAGTGATTTTGGGACAATTTGACGAGATAATCACCTGTCTTTACTTCTCTCGTCGTAAATACTCCTCTTCGGCCTCTTCCTTACAGCAGAATGAATAGGATTATCACAATCAGAAGGACCAGGGACAGAACTCCGATGGCCATCCACTGTCGACTGTCTGCAGAGGCAGAAAAAACACACTCATTAGTCCGCAATTCTCAAGCACTCAATCCACTGCGCTCACCATTCGTCATGTGAAGGACTTTGGCCATCTTCTTCATGGTGGAGTCCAGTTTGGAGTCCGTGTTGTCCAGCTCGTTCCCGAAATCATCCAGCATCACCGCCTGCTCGTCCAGTTCCGTGTTGATCTGCCGCGACACGGTCTTGAGCGTGCCGATGGAGTCGCTGATCACGTCCAGCTGCTCATCCTGGCTCTGGAACATGCGCTGCTGCGCGGACACGCTCTCGCCGAGGAAGTGCGTGGGGCTGTCCAGGGTGTTTTCCAGCTTTGAGTACTTGGTGCCGCTGTGGCGGGCGGCCGCGGAGGCCAGATTCTGCGTGGCGGAGCTCATGAGGGACGGCGGAGCGGTGATCACGCTTGGGCTGTCCGTGGGCGCGTCCAGGAGTGGCTGACGGGCTGTGATGTCTCTGTCGCGACTTCGACTCACGCAGATCTCATCCTTCATCGACTTCACTTCATGCCGCGTGGCCTCGATGAAGTGGCGCCGCGTGATCAGCTCCCGATTGTCGATCTTAAACTTGCTCGGGTTCTTCTCGACGATTCGTGTGCCGCAGTTAAGGAATTTTCACCCCTGCAAGCTTCATTGATTTTCGCGCAAAATTAATGGATAATTAAGGAGGGTCACGCTATGGGGAGCCTTTTGCCCAATTTAAATTCTCTTCCGTGTTTTTCGGAGGGAGGCAGAAAGGTGAGTTGAGAGAGAGGGTGGCAAAATACAGCCCACTTTTGGAGCGAATAAACTCTATTAAGTTAGGGCATTTTCATCAGTTTTACGTCATTTTTGTGCGGATGGAAAATAGGTGAGAAAATCCGCAAAATCTTGATTGTTGGCCAAGTAATAGAAGAGGAATTCAGCTACCTAATTATCCCCATATCTTATCATTTGCCCAATTTCGGTCATGAATCTTCCTGTGGTGGAATTGGCACGAGTGAATCGAGTGAATCCCTCGGGCTTGGCGTGAAATTATCAACAGAAATGACCTCGATTTCCATTCATGAGACGCGAAAGCCGCCCTTGGGAGCGATAAAGGGGCCGCTTTGGTGCTTGTTAAAAGGATATCTATGGTGTCCTCGAGGTCCTCCAAGTCCCATTCAATGCTCCGCAGGGAATTCCTCAGCTCAGTCGTTGTCCACTCGACTTCGGCTCCGCTGGAGTCTCCCAATTCGCGCCACCTCAGATACAGTCCGCGTGTCTTGTTGAGCGCTTTGAAAACCTCGCTGGGGGAGGAGGAAAAAGGGTGAGAAAGAGAGAGAAAGAAAAATGAATGTCACGGAAAATCGATCAAACGCCGGAGTAACCTTAATCCCACTGCCCAAGGAGCGCGGCTCCGGGCGTGAGAAAGCCTCCAACTTACTCCTTGACAACAAAGAAGGGATCCTCCAAAGACATGACACGCTGAGGGCGGCGGAGAAACTAAACACAAGGCGGAATGGCTGAGAATGTGGAAAACATGGAGGGGTTCTCGCGCTCCCCCGCAATCTCAGGGAGGAAAAACAGCACACAGAGCGAGACGAGAAAATTTCCACGCACTACAAAATGTCTCTTTGCACCTTTTACAAAAAAAAATTCTTCTTCACTAAGCGTCTTAATATCGTTTGGCTTTGGGTATTGTTTTGTTGTTGTTTGTACAAAAAAGTTCAAGAGTTTTGTTTGGACTCAATTTGGGGGGAATTGTTTTGGCTCGATCCCTTGTGGCACTACATCGCTTTTCCACCGAAGCGCTTTTCCTTCGCGATGGAACGTGAAGAATTATTGATGAACTCACCCGTATTGATCCCAGTGAGTCACTGTCGCAGGGGTAGAGGCCGCAGCATCAGGTCGTCTCTTGCTGGCCACCGGAAAACTCTGGAAAATTCCCCTGCAATGGAAAAGGGTGGATAGCTCGACACCCTCGCACGCACAGAATCTTTCCACTGAAGCACGGCACAGCGGAGACCGCCGCCAGCGCCACACCAGCGTCTGGCGGCAAAGCAGCGCAAAGTCTCTTTGAACGCTGAAGCGTTGTGTTGAAGAGATTTTAAGAAATGCTTCAAAACTGAGAAAATCCTTGCTTTCAAAGCAATTTTATGGGGTAAATCTTGTAAAACTCTAGACATTCTTCAATTTTCTGTTTGGAAGATCACACCAAATAATGCCAGAGAAATGAAACTCCAATAAGAAGTTTAAAAGGGGTTTCCCCGTTTAAGAGAGTCTCTTAATGAAAATGATTAATACAAATTCATGCTAAACGTTAAATTATAGAGAAACTCATAAATTACGAGAATAAATCAAGGGGAAAATCTCTCGTGATTTCAAACCATTGACTTTGTGATTATTTAGTCTTTTCTTGATTATGCCAAAAAAAAATTTAATATTTGATTATTTTCTCCACATATTGCCACCAGAGGGCAGCAAATTAAATTTTAAAGCAATGTTAGAGTTCCGATTGTATTTCCTCCTAATTTTAGGTGTTCAAATTTAGCTTTTGGCAAATTTAGTGACTTTTTTGCTATTTAAATTTCAATTTTCATTAAATATTCTGATAATATTTAAATATAATTAATGTTTTTTTTATTATTTTGAAATTTTCCTTGAAAAATAATCGTCTTCGATTATTTCTATTCAAATTCCTATTACTTGAGAGGCAAAAATCAATATTCAATTATTTAATTGAGAATATTTAATTAAGATAGGATTTTACAGATTAAACTCCTTTTAATACAGTTAATCTAAAAGGAAAACACACATATTGTGGGTTTATCATTTAAATGATTACTTGGATCAACAGTCAAAATAAATCAACCCAATGCTTAATTTTGAATGAAACACTCTGCTTGAAGGCATTTTTCTTCCCATCGTGTTTTCCATATGTTCATGGAAAGAAAGCACACGAAGGCGACATGAGGCATATGTATGTATGTTCCAAAACAAGCTGAATAATAAAGTATGAGGTTGTTAAAAAGTATATAAATCAATTTAAAAAATGTATGAGGATATTTATTGATAAAAAAAACTTAAAAATCATTTTTCTATTATGTCGTTAAATGAGAAATAAAGTGTTTTCTTAGCTTCCCTTCTGCATTAATACTCACAAATTTCTACGAAATCCTTTGACGGCCTTCTTCGCCACGAGTCCTGATGGTTTCTCCGCCTACTGTTCGCTGTGTTGGAAGACAATCGAAATGATGATCGAACGAAAGTATCTCCTCATTTCAATTAAACGTGGTACTTTATATATATTTTTTTGTATTCTCTTACAATAATAAAACAACATTGTTGATTGAGTCATTTTGCTAAGATTCACAACAATCTACGGGCTATAATACAGTCATGTAATATCATCAATATGAAGAATAGTCAGGATATAATTCTGTTATTTTTTTTGGCATGAGTTTCTTACAATGTGACACAATACTATTTTCAGCGGCTCTGTTTTATTACACATCGCTACATCCATATTGAGCATAGATAAGAGATATAGGATTGCGATTAACGTTAATATCATCCTGTGTGGATGTGCAACACTGATTCTTAAGCGTCTCATCCTGTCTCCGAGGCTCTCAATGGACTTACAAATGGAAGTTGCGAGTGTTTCTCTTTCTGCCCATATTGCAAATCTTGAAGTGACATAGAGACATATCTGCAAAGACACACAGGATCTCTCGTGAGGTGATGAATTTTTGATTTTCCACCGCGAAACTTACAGTTGCTGGAGTGGGCGTCTTTCTTCTGCAGGTTCCCACGCGTGCCGTAACTCCCAATGTACGGCAGGGGCGTGGGAAGGGCGTCAGCGGGATTCCTCTCGGACAGCTCGGCGGAGCCAATGATGGACTTTGCCGTGATGTCGTGCTTCCTGGGTCCGACGCCCCGGGCGAAGTCCACGTCATTGGCGTTGGGCAGCAGTTCCCGGAGCCACGGCCAGTTGCCCAGGAAGTTGTCGTTTGGCTCCAGATCCCGCTGTTGAATGTGGACAGTGGTTAAGAATCTGTGGAGTTTCACTCAATTTCAGGCTCATTTGCTCACCACATCGTTGTAGTTCTCGTCGTAGGCATAGGAAGGATCCATGTCGTAGAACTCGGGATGCTGCTCGAGTCTGCGGAAGAGTGTCAGCAGATTGTGCTGCTCCCGCGGACTCAGTGCCGCCGATGCACTGACCAGAACCACGCCGAGCAGAATCAGCGATTGGACAGAGTGTCTGCGAAAGCAAGTTGCGAATTCAACACACGGCAGAAATAGAAAAGCAATTGCAAACAAATATTTTCCCCATATTTCAGGGTTGCGCAATTGTGTCATCAATCAAGGGAGGAAATCATTTCACCCCGCAAGCCGATGATTATCTCGTGCAGCTCATATTGAAGCAATTGTTGCTTCGACCTGCTTTAAAGACGCCCTCTTTTCCTTCTTCCTACGAACTTTCCCTACGCGAAGTAACATCGCAGACATTTCTGCGTTCTTTCAGTGCAAAGGAAGAAACCTTTGTCAATATTTTATACATCAAATGGACCCAGACGCACTCAACGTGAGAAAATTCTGTGTCTCAATTTTCCGGGATATAAATGACTGGAAGATGTGCGGAAATTTTCCGCGGAATTTCCTTCATGCTAATGGAGCATTTTAATTAAATAGAATTATTGATATGTTTGCTCATATAATTTTGCACTTCTGTCCTCGAGCCTTTCTCTCCATTTTCTCAACGGGTTTTCCTTGGAGTTGCCATGCGAAATCATACGCGTGAGTGAAAAGTTTGTAAATTTCGAGTATCTTAAACACGTTGAATAAACATTCGCGCCGTTATCAATTATTGATGAATGGAGGGTAATATTGGAACATAATTTACCAATGATTTCTCGTGGGCGGACCCATTCAATTACCCTTTGCCTTTTTTTCTATACTGACTCAACAACACTCTTCCTGCGGTGACATTGAAACAAACAACAGAATAATACACTGAAGAGTTGAAAAGTGAGCAGAAAGTTTCATATTTCAGTGGAATAATTGTCCCCGTCGAATATTCTGAATTGCAATGAAGGGTGTTTTACGTGTTTTATGAAAATTCCAAGGGGGAAAGTCACTTGTGATTTCAAACCATTAACTACAGACGCCAGAGGGCAGCAATGTAAACTTTAAAAGCATATTTGACTTCCGATTAATACAATTTCCACCTAATTTTAGGTGCTGGAATCCTGCTTTTAGTAAATTTAGTGACATTTTTGCTATGACAATTAAAATTTTTATAAAATATTCTAAAAATACTTAAATATAGTAATTTTTTTGCTTGAAAAATAATAATTTTTGTTTTTTAAAAGTAAAAATCATTCTTTAAATTTTCGCTTCAGACCATTAAGATTCTCCAAAAATCGGATAGTGATTTTCCCCTTGGAAAATACTTAACTTTTAACAAAACCTTTTTGCTATTAGCATATATTTATTTATTTTTTGAAAAATCTTATCGTTTTTCTGTTTTTTTTTTGTGCATATCTTCGAATAAATATGCAAATGTGAATGATTAAGCATAATCAAATTAAACTTGAGCGCCAGCCTTGAATAAATCTCTCGCAGTCTTTAGAAAAATTCGCATCTGTCTAAATATATCAATCCGATTCCTTATGCAAAATATGCCTTAATAATACGTGAAATATAGGATTTGTAACCCGAGAAGAATTCCTAGAATTCCAGCTTTCGTGGGGACTAAAGTCAATCCTTATAAGCTAGTTTGCGAAGCATATTGCGTAAGTTTCTTTCAGAACATACGGAGCATATGCAAAGTTTCAGTGGATATTTTAGTTTAACATAACTTCATGTGAGTCTTCATTGAAAAGCATTTTCCCTGGTGATTGATGAAAAGTCGAGGCCTCTTGCTTCGTGAACACGTTTCATTGCAAGTGTTGCACTTTGTGTGCAGAATTGTGCCCTTTGCAAAGCCACAGAAGTGAATTGTGTGAAGTTTGCAAGTCTCGTGGCTGTTTTTAGAACGTGGCCGGAGGAATATTATTGAACCCCTTCTTCGGATGCTCTTGCGGACGGAGCTTTTCTCTTGCATAGAAATTTTACAATGGCTAATTAGGACCGCGAGGGGTGATTTAGAATAGGTCCAACACTGTATTTTCTATTGAATAATAATTTCCAATCTCCCGAGGAGCTTTATCATCCCCATTAATGCACCTTTTCAGCGTTGTTTCTCTTATACGCCCAGCATATTATCCACCGATGCGCGATATTACTGGCAAAATGTACACATTGAACTTTTCAGCAAAGAGTCCTCGCCATAAAAGCTTCCCGTGGGGTGTAAAATTAAAATGTTTTCCTTCGCTCAGGGATTTTTCTGCGCTCCAATGATCTTTTGGGTGTGCATTTGATGAAATTTCTCTCTATATAAATATGTGTGTTTGGCACAAACCTCATCGTTATGCTGGTGCAGTTTCACAGAAAAAAAAATCACGCACAAGTCCTCCTGAGATCACTGAGGAAATCCTCTTTCACTTCTCACTGGAGTTATTAAATTTTTTTACGACGTCCTACGTGGCTAAACACCTCCGACTTGCGGTGTGTCTGACGAGTGAGTGAAAGACTTTCGCGCTGCTGGCCGTCTTTTATACGTCACTCCAACAGGTGGTGGGTGGCGATATGGTGACGAAAAGGAACTCCTCCAGTTCAACCTCAAATATTCCTTCAGAGTACGGCAAATTCAACACCTTGAATTCCATCCACTTTCTCAGCCAGCTTTATTGAAAATTTATACTCTTTTCGGGCGGCGTATTTTCAACACCAAAAAAGGAAAACTGAGCGTCTCTATTAATCTGCGACTTGTTCACGAATGCGAGACTTTCGCGGAGTGGATTCAGTGCCTGAGAATCGCACGATTTTTAAATTGCTCTCTGATAAGAGACACTTTTTTGCCTGCAGACTCGCTTTGTCCCTAAAGTCTAGCCTTTGTCAATCAATCAATGTTGAGTGTTTAAAATTAAGTATTTTTCCCAGAGTTTCTCGGCAATATAATCTTGATAAAATGAACAAATTTCCTCATATAATGAAAATGATGATTAGAACTTAGTAGAGTTGCTATAAATGTACTTTAATTTGCACTTCAAGGAAGGAAGAAATTTGACTTCCTGCAAATTCGACTGTCTTGAAATTTCATCTTCATTCTTAGTTCTTGTGAAGCAACATGAGACAAAACAATCTCACTTAAATCTCATTCGAATTTGATCCTTTTGCAGAGATCTTCCAACCGCAAAATAGTTCCATTGCCTTAACTACACTTTCTTCCCGAATCACTAAAATTGCGTGATGATTTTGTCTACCCACGTTCTCGCGTCTTCCATTTTCGTCACATAATCTCAGCAGATTGACCCGCGGTGAAGAAGCATCGTGCGTGGACGTGAGATTAGCGCTGAGACAAATTGTGCAAAAAAATCACACGATTCTCGCCAATAAATAGCCACAATTGCATGAGATTTGCGCGCTATCGGCGTGGTGATGCCCAAGGGTTTTAGGTGTGGCGGATTTGGGGGTCAAGAAAGAGGTCGGGCGATTTTTTTTTCCCACAGAGTCTCGTGGGCACAAAATGTAGAAAAATGTGAGCAATGGACGAGATAAAACCAGTGTTTTGTATCACAAAATACAACAATTTCTCTCGCTCTTCTCACTTCTCCAATGTGTCCCGAGCAAGAAAGTGAGTTTCGCGGAAAATTATCTCATGTGTTATTGAACTCGCACTTTAATTTAGGCTCTGGCGGATGGAAGAACACGCAGCAGAAGGAAAAAAAACACACTGTCTTGAGTTAGTAAATATTTTTTTTTTTCCTACAGAGCCTGTTCAGGCTTCGTGCAAACAACAAGTGTGCTACTTAATTGCGCACCAATCTGAACCAATTCCCTAGTGAATGAATCTGGGATTTCAATGAACTGATCTCGGTGAGTGAGGCTCCCTTGAGCGACTGATAAAAGAACTGCATCAGCATTGTCGCAATTAATATTTCTTTTTCTTATCTCCCAGCAAATTGACAATGGAAAATTTGCGGGAAACTTCCCGACAAGGAAGACAATCAGACGCTCATGCTCCACTTTTGTGAGTCTTCGCAAAAGTGGGGCTCTGAAGTTTGTATTGACGGCAGTTTCAATGGTCATTCAACGGGGCGATTTATTGTGGAAAATCACGTGCCAATATACAACAATTCGATCAGTGATGTAAGAAATCCGCTCTTTTTCTGACTCTTTGTCTCAATCATTCTTGCGAGTCTATTTTAGAAAAATCCTCCTATTATGTTGCAGATTACAAGCGCACATAAATTATTCGCCTGACAATTGATTAGCACTGATGAACTCTCAACTAATGTCACGCGATAAGGAAATTGTAAATAGAATGCTGGACAGCTTAGAATACAGCAAATCAAGCCAATCTGTTTACAATTTCCCACAGAGTGAGATAGAGAAAGCATTGATTGAATATTTACCAGTGCTTCGAGAGTAGTTGTAATGGAAAATTTATTAAGTATTGTGGGAGTGACTCAAAACACTTTCGCTTTAGGGGAAAATCAATTTTTAAACTTGAAGGAAATTCATGGATCAAGTGTAGGAGAGATTATCTCCAAGGGGACAGTGACTCTGACCACTTGAGGCGGAAGGGATAGAAATGTGGGAAGATTTGTGAGATAAATTTGACCACAAATAATCAAACAACAGTGAAACAACAGAAGAAATTTCAAGCGTATTTCCTAAGATGAGAAACTTATTGATAAGATTGTAGGTTTCAATTGGATAAAACAGTCACATGGGCGGGGCTTTCAAGTGGGCGGAGCTTCCTAAGCAATTATATCATCTTTTGGCAATTTTTTCTATTACTTGCTTGAATTTCTTTATTCACGCTAATCATGAATGAATATTTATCACTGTTTATTATCAATTCTCTTACCTGCTTTGAGGCCAAATTTGCACAAATAAACACATCATTTCACATTCAAATATGGGGCATTTCATGCTTAAAACCTCCTTCTGAAATTTTCCCTTTTGATTCCTATTTGTCTTGACGGTTAAGTATCGCTCGGGGCGTGTAATTGCTCAATGCTGAACAGGATCCATTTCTCACAGAACATCCTTAATGACGCGCGTTTATTCATGGAGCTGAGAATCATTAAAGATTATGCATTAATCTCTGTGATATCTCGCTGAACATTTGTCATGGAAATTTCTCGTTCTCTCCCTCCAACTCTTGGGCAGTGCCCACGTGATTGTGGGGCAGCTTTGGGGCCGAAATTGGTGGATTACGCGGGGAAATGAACAAAAAATTGATTGGCTTTTCCGTGCCGGATGCAAATTGCGCCGTGGAGGCGCCTGGTTCTAGTGGAGACGCAAACGTGGAGGAAATTTCTCCGAGTGTTCCCATTGCGCAAATCCCGGCGAGAACCTAAATTCCCTGCTTCTTGTCTCATCTGTCTTATTTGTCACTCTGTCGCTCTGCAGAATCTCCGAGTTTTCTGTGTTGTTCCACCGCAAATTTGTGTCTTGTTTCCTGTGAGATGGTGAAGGAGTTGTCCAGAAGCGCAGTGAGAAATCTCTGGCACTAAGAGTTGTCCTTCCAAGCTGAGCAATTCCTCGGAACAAGGGTGAGTGTGTCTTGTCGAAGTTTCTGACACTTTTGACATGATATTCCTGGAAATCTCCATTCCAGCTGTCGCTGGAGAATCCCAGGAGTGAGATTGTGATCATGGCATCCACAATGCAGCTGGAGTTCTCTCAGGCCATGTCCGACTTCAAGACCATGTTCCCGGAGATGGACAGAGACGTGATCGAGGCTGTTCTGAGGGTGAACAAGGGCGCTGTGGATGCCACAATTGACCAGCTCCTGGCCATGAGCACAGATAATCAGGTAATCCACGCTCGGATCTTCAGAGTATTCGAAACATTCTAACAATTCCATTGAATTCTCCAGAACGAGAAGCTGCGGAATGAGCTGGAGAAGTCCGGGAGTGACTCACCACAGCAGAAAGCCTCGCGAGAGGCCTCGCCAGTGGGTGGCACGACGCCTGAGAAGCACATCTCCCTGCTGAGCACCTCACCGGTCAATCTCACCAGCACTGGCGCCTCGCCGAAGGTGAAAAAGACCTCCACGTCCCCGGAAGCGGCGTCGGGGCCGCGAAAGACCAAGAGATGGGATCCGCCCATCCTCAGTCCGCTGCCGCCGACCTTCCTCCGGGTCACGATGGTGAATGAGAAGGGCGAGACGGACATTCCCGACGAGCAATTCGCCCTCATGCTCCAGAATGAGGAGTTCATGAATGAGTTGCGCTGGAATCAGGAGTTCATGATGGCGCTGGAGAAGGAGCAGCAGGGCAAGGCGAGAACTGAGGATGACGCGGTGTTCAAGGAGCGCCTCAAGCACATGGGCAAGAAGTCGCGGAAGAAATTCCTGCAGCTGGCGCGGGTGTTCACATGGCAGAAGAATAAGAAGCCTGGCGCCGTGCGACATCCGGACTCCCTTCTGCTCCAGGAGGAGCACAGTGATGACGATGAGCCGCGCCGCGTGAAGAAGTAATTCGCACAGCTGCGGAGGATTTTGGTGGGTGATAGAGTCATTGAGAACCCTTTCGTTTATGTCTCTCAAGTGTTGCCAATTGGGATATTTCAGCCTGAATCCTCGGGACTGTTGCAATCCACGATTCTCTGGCCATTGTGTTGTAGCCATATATTTGTTAAATTCCTTGTCCAAGCACTGATATTAGTCCCACGAAGAATCTCCCGCGAAAAACCCTTCTTCGCAAACTACCATAATCTCATATTTTACCACCAGTTGCCGCCGCCTTTGGCCCAATATTTTCATACTTTTCAACTGCTTCTGACGCTCATTTGACTGAAGATCAAGACACAATTGCACAAGCTTTGTCAAATCATACATTTTCCACCAATTTCACCGCCAGAAACTGCAAAATAAAGGAAGATTTAAGCTAGAAAATGGGAAGAAATCCTTTGAAATTGCATTTGGTGAAGTGAAAAGTAGTAAATATTGGCCCAATTGTGTGTCGGTCGCTGTATATTAGTGTATAGGATGAAGTCACGCGATACTCGAGGAAAAGATGTCGAGGCCGCCGGGAGACTCTCCCCCGCCTCGAGGGCAGGATCATGAAATGGGGGGAAACTTATACAATAACTTACTGCAACGTAACGAATATTTGAGAAGAGATAACAAAACATTTAATGTGTCCATATTACGGTGATGTCTTCTGTGCAATTTATTGTTCCTTTTTGTAGATAAAAGAAAAAACCAAGAAGTACCAGAGTCAAAGTGTAGAAATCCGCAAAAAAATTTCTTTTATTTGTAGTGAAAAAGAGTCTTTTTGTTGCTGTATAAATTCAATAAAAGTTATATTTTATTTGAAATTTCTTTTATTCAGTTCCTTTTTATGTTTTCTTAGTCTCTTTTTAGTTGAGTAAACTAGACTAGGACGAACGGGTTTTTGTAGATTTTTTAACGCTAAAAAACATCTGTTTTTCATTTGTACATTTTTTCCTTTTCTAACCACTTTTTCAACAGCAAAGAAAAATATCTTAATCAAATCTAATGCAACTCTTCAGTTTTTTTTTCAACCTACCATAAGAGAAATCATTTATCACAACACCAACGACAATTCCTCAATGATATCAAAAGAGACACTCTCATATCAAAAAAAAGATCTTTTCCAGTAAACCCTTTCCACCAATATTTTCACCCCCATCGCGATACAATTTCCCTCTCAACTGTAGTGTATTTTGAGATGCATTTCTAGTGAGAAAAACAAGCCCAGTTGCAAGATTAAATTGTTGGTCGATGAATGCTTAAACGTAATCTTTCTATAAATTATCAATAAATTCGAATTATGGATTCACCAGTGCGCCTTCAGCCCCTCCGCCACCAGTTTCACCATTCTGCTGTGATTCGCATACAAATCGATGTTCCTGTCCACATCCTTCCACTTCACGCGCGCCGCATCGCTGCCCGCCTCCAGAGGAAAGCGCCCCACGAGATCTCCGTTCTTGTCGTGGAAGTTCATGGCCAGCGTCTCCATCCAGGCGTTGTCTGTGTTCCTGGGATCGTCCACGTAGCCTTCATAGACAGGAGTGCCGGCAAGTTTGAAGAAGATTTCAACTTCCGTCGGACGAGCATTACTGTTGAGCGCCTCCTCGATGAACTCCCGCTTCAGTGTGGCCGCGATGTTCTCTCCCGGATCCACCATTCCGCCCGGAATGGCCCACTTGCCACAATCCTTCCGCATAATCACACACATCTGCAGAAACTTGCTCCCCGTCTCGGGATGCTTCATCACAGCACCATTCTCGTCTCTCTTCCAGCGCGTCACAATCGGATCAGCAGCGTGATTCGGTCCCCAGCGCCCCAGAAGACCTCTCCCGGCGATTCCAGTCCTGCCCACGGGATTCCTCGGCAGGCCATCATGCAGCTGATATTCTCCACCGTAACTCTTGCGGTTCACATTGCCATCCAGCGTGTTGAACTGGATCTTCTTGTACTCCTCCGTGCCGAAGGCGGGATCTGCCCACGGTTTGCCCTCCAGTCGCGGCGACTCGTAGAAGCGCGGCTCGTAGTCCGGACAGGATCTGCTCCAGCACTGCGAAGGATCGTCCACCGTGCAGCGCATGATATCCGTCCCGGGATACAGGCTGTTGCGACACTGCCTGTGCATTATCCTCTTCATGGGTTGAAATTTGTTCACTAAACTTCCCTTAAACATCCAGATCACCTTCTGACACTCACTCTGCTTGGTGTTAAATCGATGCCCAAGACCGCTACTCGGGATTTCGAATACACACTTCAGCAAAGACACAGCGCGATGCGACTTTATCGACTAAACTTCACTTCAAATGTGTCTTCTTAGTCGCACGCGATTTGAAACCAATAATTTTGTGATTATTCAATCATTTCTTAATATTCTTGGCTTATCAACTTTGGCAACAAAGTAGTAAAAGTCACAAATTTGCTACAAGCTGGAATTCTAGCTCATCCAGCTCATCAAAGGCTAATTTCGTCTTTGGGAAGAACAATCTGAACTTTCGCATGCATTTCAAAATTGATTTGCTAAAATTTCTTTCTTTCCTGGCCAGGATAACGCCAGGAAGTGTGAGAATGCATGAGATAAAAGAGAAAATTATGCGAAAAATGCAATATTTTTATTACCCTCCCTCACGCCAACTTTGTTGCCCTCTGGCGGCCATATGTGGGGAAAATAATCAGATATTTAAATTTTAATTAAATTTACATATTTTGCCTAGAAATATTCAAATTTTGAATGTTTTGTAATTTTATTTGGTAAATAATTATTTTTATTTAAATTTTGGCCTTAATTTGTCATTTAATTCCTTATAACGTCCTCAGTCTATTCAGTCCTTCATAAACTCAGTGAATTTGTTCTTTTCAATTTTAATACTGATTCCAAAAGTCCTTCGAATGGCAAAAATAGAGCAATTCTCCCACTAAATAAAGCATAACTCAATCACATGATTGGCTCTGGAGTTTTGCTCCCTCTTCGTCAATTAATCTTCACACTCAGAGATCACTTGTTGACGAGCGTGACGATGATTCGGCTGCTGCTCTTGAGTGTTCTGTGCAGTGCTGCGAGTGCCAAATACAATGTGGTGTTTATCGTTTTGGACGACATGCGGCCGGCGATCGCATCCTACGGCGATCCTAAGGCTTTAACGCCTCACATGGACAGTCTGCTGAAGGAAGGATTCTACTTCAACCGCGCCTACGCTCAAGTGAGTGATTTCTACGATTGATTGTCAATTTGAGAGGCAATTCATTACGGTCTTTTCTCAGCAAGCAGTTTGCGCTCCGAGTCGCAATTCCATGCTCACGAGTCGGCGGCCGGACACGCTGCATTTGTACGACTTCTACAGCTACTGGAGGGAGTTTGCCGGAAATTACACAACGCTGCCGCAATATCTCAAGTCTCACGGCTACTTCACGGCGTCCGTGGGCAAGGTCTTCCATCCGGGCGTCACGTCGAACTTCACCGATGACTATCCTTACAGCTGGAGCACCGAAGCTTATCATCCTCCCACGGAGGAGTTCATGCACGCGCCAGTGTGTGAAGATGCCGAGACGGGAAAGTTGGTGCAGAACCTTCTCTGTCCAGTGGATGTGACTTCTCAACCAGGACACTCTCTTCCGGACATTGAATCAGTGGAGAAAGCTGTTGACATATTGAATAACGTCTCGGAGCCTTTCTTCTTGGCTGTGGGACTTCACAAGCCTCACATTCCCTTCCGCATCCCCAGAGAGTATCTCGATTTCCACCCTCTGTGGAAGTTCTACCATCCAGACACCAGCTACAAGCCATATGATCTGCCAAATGTGGCGTGGAATCCCTTCGTGGACGTCCGAGGAAGGCACGATGTGAAGAAGCTGAACGTCAGCTTCCCTTTCGGGCCACTGCCGAAGGACTTCAGAGCTCAAATACGGCAATATTACTACGCATCCGTGACCTACGTTGATGCCTTGATTGGGAAGCTCCTGAAGGCGATTGAGAAGGACAATACGATTGTGATTCTGACTGGAGATCACGGATGGTCGCTGGGAGAGCACGGCGAGTGGGCGAAGTACAGCAATTTCGAGGTGGCTTTGAGAGTTCCGCTGATCATCAGAGCTCCTGGAATGCAACCCAAGACTAAGAACCGAATTGATCAGCCAGTTGAACTCCTGGACATATTTCCCACGATTGTGGATCTTCTAGAACTGCCCCAAGTGCCGAAATGCTCGTCCAAATCGCAGGATTTGTGCACCGAAGGAGAATCTCTGGTTCCTTATTTGCGAAATAGAGGAAAGCGAAATGTGAGGAAAATGGCTTTCAGTCAGTATCCTCGTCCTGGTGATTATCCCAGTGAGAAGCCAAACAGTGACAAGCCTAGATTGGAGGAGATTAAAATAATGGGATATTCCGTGAGGAATCACAGATTTCGCTACACTCTCTGGGTGTCTTTCGACCCAAAGAACTTCACGAGGAATTGGGATGAAATTCACGGCGAAGAGTTGTATGATCACAGTTTGGACAGTGGTGAAAACATAAATCTCGCCTCTCGAGAACCCTTGAGTGCCATTAAAGCTCATTTCAGAAGGATTCTGAAGGAGAAATTCTCAGAAGCTTAGTGAGAATGATATTTCGAAAGCTGTGAAAAGGCGATTTTCCATAGTTTAATACTAAACTTTCGGGATTTTTCTATAATATTCTTAGACATCAAATTAATATTGAAAAAATCTTAATGAAAAGTCCATTTAAATGATATAAAAGTTGATTTTACAGAACTTTTTCAAATAAACGTACTCAGAAACTATTAAAAATTGACTTTGGAATGTAATATTTTCAGTTTATCTATTAATTTTGCCATATTTCAGTCAAAAATTCCTATAAATTCCAATAAAATCAACGGGAACATTCACAAAATATTTACTACAGAGTAATATTAGCATTTAAATGAAGGAATAAAAGGTGTTTTGAGGTAAATTCGACAAATTTCGATTCATTCGTCGATTTTTAAGAGAACAAAATAAAGTGTTTTGAAAATTCTCCGATTTTAGTGACACAAAAGCGAGTTAAAGCGCGCGTGGAACTTCCATTGAATGTGTCGATGATTTAAAGTCCACTTCGGTTCCACACGTTCCACGAGGTGTTGAATGAAAGTGTGTGTCTTCGCTAACGTACTCAATTTTATAGCGCGTGCACTTGACAGGCTTCGGCGGTGGATTATGAATGAATTCATTGAAAAAAAAGAGTGTGTGTCGAAGGAGAATGTCTGTGGCTGTTTTATTGCAAGTAAATTCATTAATTGACTCAGAATGAGCTCCTCATTCATGCCGAGCTGCGTGTCGTCCGAAAACCCCGAAAAAGGAGCCGCGAAACAATGGGCTTTTGGACGCGACGAAGAGGCGGAAATCGAGCGCGTGCATCCGTAATTTAACGTTTGTTTTGCATATCAATTCAAGCATCATAATTGCCATTGTTGACATACAGAGACGAAATTCCATGGCGTATTTTGTGTGCAATTAATGAGGCTTCTCACACTATTTCGCCTGCCAGTTGATTATGTAAGTCTCTTTTTTTCTGCCTCTCTCTCTCCCTCTCTCCCTCTCTCTCGCTCTAGCCAACATCGTGTCTCTCGCGGTGGACAGCAAAAATTTACATAACCAGCAAACGACGAACGGGTGTCGATATATTTTCTATTTTTGGGGTTAAACACTTGTCCGTTTTGGCAAAGAGAGCGCGCGCACAGGGAAGGAAAAGAGAGTCTTTAATTGTTGAAAAAAAAGCGGGAGAATTGTGAATGAAGTGCAACGTCACAATGCGGCACCATCGCGGGGCGCCAAACTCACAATTTCACCCATAATTCCTCTCCCGTGTGTGTCTGTCTTTCACAATTTCGAGTGGCCGAGCGATCTCGCTCCCCCGCAACTTGGCGCGCTTTGGAGGCAACTTGGAGCGCATTTAAAAATAAAACCCGCGCCTTTTCCATCACGCCTCGGCTGCGCTAAGGTTGAAAATCCCCCGCAAAAGCCGCGTCGCAGCGTCTCCGGCATGGCAATTGTCCTCCACAATCGATGCAACTCTTCCAATCTCTCGCGGATGCCTATTTATAGCCATCCGCCGAACTGATCATCTCAATATCCATCTGCGAAAATAGACACTGTCGTCCAGCTGGTGGGATTCCTCCTCTTAATGAGACAAACGCCGCTCAATGGGATGAAGAGGCGCAGAGAGATGTGAATCTCACATGAGTCGCGTGGAGATCCAATCTGTCCACCAAAATCCACCTCCGCACGCAGTCGGCAAATCCGGGGAATTTTCACGCGCACTTCGCGCGGCGGAATGTCAGCCGAAAATCTCAATGATTTGCACTTCGTTGCACTCACGTGGGCGCAAGTGTTGATAAGTTTGGGCTAAAAGTGGCGGATTTCAATCTTTAATCTCCACTGCCAAGATGTGAGGGCGAATCGAGAGTGCGCGCCAGCCAGGAAAGAGTGCATGAATTAAGCACATTCACGAGAGAGAACAATCAATTTCTGAGGGGAAAAACCACTTAGTTCTGTGAACCTCTTCCATCAGTGGTGTTTTCTTGATTTTCTGAAAGCACTTCCTGTTGACTTGTTCGCCGCATATCTGAAGAATTTCAAAATTTCCGTTGGATAGCAATTTCAGCGGATGACTGTAAATTTCTCCGCTCTGGGAATTTCTTTCACACAGCGTGGCAAGAAGGGCGATAAAACCTCCTCTTCTTCTTGCACACTGGCGAACAATGGCGGGAAAATTTCCCCGAAAGTGACGATCGCGATAGTTGGATGATTAATATGGTACAAATGGCCTCTTTGGCAGATCATAAATGTCAACCATTGCTCGAGAGATTTCCTGCGTGAATCCTCGGCGAGAGGGCAATTGTTGCGCAGCACGAAGAAACCTGAAATGCGCGAGAGACAATGTGTTTTGAATAATGAATGGAAGACAATTTTGCCATAAAATCAACACACAAATTCACCATGAGCTGAGGAGACAGTGAGGCAGGGCGCAATAAAAGCGCAACAAACACTCATTAACCTTGCACATAAAGTAATTTATGGCGGAGAATCTCGCAGAATGACAAAAATGCCCGCGGATTTGAGATTCATTGCGAATGCAGAGGCGTAGGTGAGGAATTCTGCTGCAATGGCTGAGCCCGAGAGAGAATCCACCCAAATTCCTTCGGCCCCAAATGCACACACGCTGGCCTAATGGCAACAATAGTGCATGTAAATTGATTTGCGTGGCCATTGAGAGGCGCGTGTGTGGACGAAACGATCGCTGGACGCCCACAGCATCCGATCGCAGCTTGAGAGATTGGCCTGCAACGTGGTCGGGCATTCCAGCCATTTCAGAGCACACATTTCCAGCGACTTTCGTGCCACGCCAGAGCCCACAGGGCGCCCAAATCCGATCACGATCCCACCGGACGCCCACACTGGCTCGATTTCACCTCGCTCTCGTGATGCCATTCACTCTAGCTCAGCCACTTTTGCTTCGAAACACTCACGGCGTTCGATCAGCGTTTCTCAAGTCACTCAACGCTTTCAAGGGGGAGATAATATAGCCAGAAGTGGTGTACAGCTTAACGAAAGTCTGAGAAAGTGGAAGTGTTCAAAAACTTACAATATTCATTTCCTGAGTACTTTTTTGGTTTCTTTTACTGATCTTTTTGTAAAAAACAGTCATAATAATCTTTTCCAGGTTATGTAACAAATCAACGAGAAATTTAGTGAATAATTCGCATTCTAGCACGTCAATTCTTATGCTCAAGTCTAGTAGTGAAGAATAAAGCATTTACGTGCAAAAAAACTGCTTTTCTGAAAATTTGATGCCAAAAAACACTGAAAATTGTATGAAACTTGAACATAACCTCAAAAATAGTCATTTGGACTTGAAAAATGTTCATTTTGAGAACTTTCTGGACAATTTTGACTCTGAATCAGCAGATTTGAGTTCATTGACATCATAAGAGATGATTTTGTGATCTAGAAAGCCTCTATATTTTGAGATATTTTGAGGTTATGGTCAATAAAATCACCCAAAAAAGCGTTTTTAAGTGGATTCTTGCAGACATATCGGATAGAAATGTGAGAGATTATTGCTAGAAGTGTTAAGAAGTGATTTAAGGCACATTATCTTCCCCTTGAACTCGTCGTGTAATGCTTCTGTGTTCAAAACTGCCATCAATTCTGCAGAGATATCCGAAAATTGGAAGGAATAGGAATGGTTTCATACCTTAAAAAGAGGGAATAAGTCAAGGAAAGCATTGAATTCAGTTGTGTATTTGATAATCGCAGGGAAGAAACATTTATTCTCGCAATCACAAAACCTTTCCATTAACCAACAAGCTGTCCATTCTCGGTCCGATTAATCAGACCCCGCACTCTCTCTGGGCACCGAAAGCGCTCTCCGCGGCGCAGACTGGACCCGGCGATGGCGCAGTGGGATGGCGCACCAGCGGAGTGGCTTTACACAATCCAAAAACGCATAATGAGAAAGAGAAACATGTAAAATTTGTGCGTGGAATAGACAAATTCAATGGAGATCTCCTCCAACGCATGAGACTGTTTGGCATTAAATGCTGCTCCCATGCACATTTCTCACCACACACGACAATTGACTACCATTTTCTTGCATCCATACACGGATGGGGAGTTGTGTAATGCCTCTCGAACGCCAACGCGAGCCTCTCCATGTCCAAGACCCTGCGCAGCGCGCGTCTTGTGGAATTCCTCCGAGGGCACTCTATCTGGGGTGGACAATTGTGTGTGGATTGGAAAGCTGGCGGCGAGTGTCATTATCAGCCTATTATCGGTGGGTGAGGAGGATATTGGACGAGGTGAGCAAGAGTGTGGCCGAAAATATTCCACCCACAGCCTCACTCTGGGCCGCGCGCTCTTGTTGACTTAATTTACAACACTGAGATTGTCATCTTCACTCCGGGTGACAAGTTGGATGCTGAGCAGCGCGCATATGAGACTTAATTTCCAGGTGTTTTACAACCTTGCCCCATTCCTCATTAATGCCCAGGACTCATGCACACATGAATTCCTTAATTTTCCCATTCGACAAATATTTATTCAAAAAAAAAAAAACTTGAGGTGCGCCTCCTATTCTCCCAGCGTCTCTTCCTTCGCGGCCTCTTCGCCGCGACTGCTTATGATTTTGAAATTTCTATTAAATTCTACACACAGTGACATGAATTAATTCAAATAGGAGTTTCCAAAAAGCCCCATGAATGATTCATATGGCTCATGCAGAATGGCTGTTGTGGTGTGTTTGCAGAGGGAATGATGTGGTGTGAAGAAATGTGTCTCCGCGGCAACATAATTGAAATGGAATGACGACGTTTAACACGCCTACCGAAAAATGCAAAAGATGTTTGGTGATTCGGGCACACTGTTGGCGATAGTATTAAATGTTATTGGAAATGTCAAAAATATTTATTACCACTTTTTATGATTTGCATTAATAATTTCTTATAATTAATGCGGCCATGTGAGGGTTAATTGTCTCGGCTCTTGCGTGTGTGTCTTTTCCATCTCGCGTCGCCAAGTGGACGCGCACAGAGTGGCTGGGAAAGGACAGGAGAAACGCA